AAAAAATAAATTTTTTTTTTTTTTTTTTTTTGAACTAGTAATATAAGTAATTTTTTTCGTTATATAAAGTACAATTAAAGAATAATGAAATAAATTTAATAACAAAATTAATTAATTAATTAATACATTTTAAAGCAATTGATAATTTATTGAAAATTATATTTATATTGGTGTTTTATTAATTATCAAACTTTTAATTAAAATTATTTATTTTATCTATTTTATATTAATTGACAAAATTAACCAAAACATACTAGTGATTGATATCTACTTGGGATACTTTTCCTATAGCTATATTATGCTGACGTGATATAACCTAAACAAAACTAAAACCGGCAAATATTAAAATATCGTAAACTGGATAATTAAGTTGGCAATTAAAATAAATAATTTAAATATGGATCGCTTGGCTATTAGAAATGTACTTACTTATTAGTTACACTTAATTTATATTTAACAATCAATTATTTATTTCTAACCTATATAATCTATGATATTTATGTATTGGTAATATCATATTTACATGTATTAATGTTGTTTCTTACAGATGAAAGAGTTTCAACTTTTGTTTAATCAAATATCTGAAACATGCTTTAAAACATGTGTGAGTACATTTCTGTCAAGAGATATGTCTACTACAGAGGTGTGTTTTAATAATTAATTTTACTTGAAATATATTATTGGGTTTATTTATAAAATATATGTATATTTAAAAATATAAAACTTGTTTTGATTATAATACTTTTTAAAATTTTCAATAGATTCAATGTATAGAAAATTGTTCAGGCAAATACATTAATGCCAATCACAAAATAATGGAAATATTTGTGGAAGTACAACCTGCTATTGCTCGTAGGAATATGGAGGAATATTCAAAAGCTCAGGCAGCTTTAGAAACACAACAAAAGGAACAAAATTCTGAAAGCATTAGATAGTTTATTTTATAAATTAATTAAGTCTTCTACTATCTTGTTAAAAATTACATTCTGGTACAATAAACTGCAAAATATTTTTTTAAACTAAACTATATAATCAATAAATATTTATTGTTATTTGCTATTATTCATAATAATATATTACAAAACATTTACATTCTATTAAAACAATAAACATATAATATATACTATAGTTACTTTTACATATAAATATTTTTTCTTGTAATTATATTCATAATCTTCAAATAAACATTCAATATTTAGACAAGAATAGTGCCAGTAATTAGCAAAAACTATATTAGAAGCAAGATATATAAGCATTCATTTATTGTTTGGAATTTGTATACACATAATATACACACAATAACATCATGATTAGGAACATAATATAGTAGCTACAATATGTTTTATAAATTAAAAAGTGCTTAAACTGCATATTTCAAGTTATTCTGTGTTACTTTTCATCCTTATGTCTATTTAATAAATATAAGATTTTATTCTTATTTAATTACAGTACTTGTTTTTATTGGCCTAAAACATTCCTAAAAAATCTGTTAAATAATGGAATGTATTTTCTGTAGAATTATAGTGAAGTCTTTAAAAAAATTTTAATAATCTTCAGAAATTATATATCAAGTTAATTTAAATTGAATAAAATATGCCATGAATTATAATTTGATTTATAGACATAAATTGAAATTTATGAAGATGACTAGCAAAAATTTGAAAATTATAGTGAATTGTATGTATATTCAATATACAATTCATTAATACATATCATTATAAAGTTTGTATCATGATCACATTGGAAGAGTTGATTTAGAACATATGGAAAAGGCATTTATGATGTTGTAGTATTAATAGATTTTTATAATTTAGATTTCTATCAATGTCAGTGTAAACTTTAAGTGTAAGCAACAAATATACATCCATTTATTATATCTATACTAAAAATTTTCTATTTATGAAGCATAATAATTTATAATGTTTCAATATACATAATATGTATTGCTGCTTCAAAAAAAATATATATATAAATAATGTCAATGTATATGAAAGTATATAAAGTCATAATTTCAATTTATTTGATTTTTAAATATTCACTTACAAAATATGACTAGTTTGAACCTGTTTTGCAACAGTTAAATATTTTCCATTTGTTTAAATATAGGCATCTGTGATCAAAATTGATTTCTTTTTCTTTTTTTTTTTTTAATTAAAACAATACTCTTCTATTTGTAAAAAAAAAATAAATGAATTTATATTTTCTATAATGAAATAATTAAAAGTTTTTTCAAAATTAAATTATAATTACATATTTTTTACGTTTTATGATAATATGTTTAATAATGAAAAAATAATTTATTCTATACAGATTTATATTTCTGATATAACTATATCGTATTTAATATGTAAATAATTGTTTATGACATAATTTAAAAAAAATAAAATTAAGTAAATGTAATTACAAGCATTTTTATACAAATATTAATTGCATAAAGAAAATACTGTCAATTTAAAAATATGATTAGGCTAATTGTAAGTCTATGATGTATTTCTATTCTTTTTTAAAACAGTTAATTTTAACATAAAAATTAGTAGGTATAAGAAGATAATAAATGAAGCCAATATTTATATATAATGACTTAAGTGTTGAAACATGTAAAAGTACAGTGATCTAAAAATGAAAAAGGTTTGTATCAAATTTTAAAGATATACAATACATATTAAAATAAGTAAAAAACTGTTTAATACATATGGATTTATAAATCGTTTTCAAATTATAGGGTTTAATTATTGAAGATTATGATATATTCTCTGTATCACATATTTGTCATTTGTTTCATTTTACAATTAAATGAAGAAATGATTGAATACATTTGAAAATCATAGGCTTTTTTGATTGTAGTTTTCTATTGTTTTAATACCTATACTGTATAAATGTACTTACTACCTTTTTTTAAATACATCTACAAATAGAAATCAAATATGAAAACGACTTACAATATAGAAATAAATTGATTGTTGAATTAAACGTTTTCTACTTATTTTAATCAGTACTGTATACTTTTAAAATTTTGCATGACTTTCTATGAATATTTTATATTTTTTCGTACTTAAAAGTACGAAAATTTTCGGGGAATTACTCTTTTAAATTAGATTAATTTTGATAATGTACATAGTGGAAATACATTTTCAATACAACTACAATTCATCAATTGTAGAAAACCCACAATTAAATTCAGTCAATATTTTTAATATTTAAAATACAATGAAAAATACTAGAATCATATAATCTATAAGTTAGTTTACTTCATTGGCCTATTAAAAAAAATAAAATATTCATTATATTGGTGCAAAATGTAATATAAATAAACGATCAATACTGTTTTGTACATACTGTAAAATTCAAAGCTCGGTATTATATCATGATAGTTTATGTATTTATTTTAAAACTTCTCTAAGAAGTTAGATATAAAAATTAAATATCTATTGCCTTTAAAGTTTTATAAGCATTATAATCGAATAAACAGAATCTTTACCAAACTTTTCAACAGACACATTCTTGATCATCATTAACTGTTGCATGTAATTAGTAATTAAGATTTACTGATACATATACCACATATTACGGATACTGGACCATGTTTAAACAATAACTCAGAAAAAATTCAGTCTGTTTTTAGATAATAATTAATTTTTTCTCCAAAAATCATGAAAACTAATAAATTACTTGATAACAATTAGTACATTTTTAAAAGTTTTTGAAAGTTGTTCTACCTTGTCATTTCCTTTGGTTTTTGAGAAAAGATTCGTATGGACGAATGCATTTTTTATTCATGTTAGACAACTTGGACTTACTTCATCTAATATAACTACTGTTCAAGCCACGACGGTAACGAGGAATTTGGTGATTTAACCTTTATGTTAAATTGCTTCAGTGTGGCTTCCAATGCAGTTTGATTTCCAGAAAAATAAGCAGATACTGCATTGTGAAATAACAGTAATTGCTTATGCATTACCTTGATCTAAAATAAAGATAAAGAAATTTTTATGATATATATTACCTTAAAAAGATAAAATGAAATATTAAAAACATACTCTGTTTTCATCTAAAAACTTAAGTTTAATCGAAACGTCAGATCTCAGTTTTTCAAGGTTTTGTTTATGCTCTTCATAATTAGCCTGTGCTGCTTCCAATCTCGCTGCATTGTTACTATCATTTTTTGTTCCTTGCGCTAATGCTTCAAAATCTGTCCTATAAGCATCATATTCTATTCTGTAAACAAATATTTTTTTATTTATAAATGTTTTCAAGACATATTTAAGTTTCTTAAAAGATTGTAATATTAACAATAACCTTGCTGTTTCATACTGTCGTACTGTAAACAATGTGTCTTCAATAGTCTTATTACAAAGTGTATTAACAGAAGAAACAAAGAAGTTTAAGGCCCCTAGTAATGTTTCGCCATTTTTAGTCAAATTTCTCTGAGTTTTTGAATTGTATAGAAACTCCTCTTGCAACTCTGGAGATTTCTGTGCTAATTCAGAAAATGCTTCTCCTAAAGCATGTTGTGTTTGAACAACATGATGGAAATGAGAAGCTAATGCTCTAGATAATCGTAAAACATTACAGTACTTTCTTTGAGTGTCTCTTAATAATTCAATTTGTGTTTCAAGTTCTGTAAATAACATTCAATAGATAATACTATGCTAATAATTATAAGCTTTCTTATAATATTACGTATTACACTATGTTACACAGAACCTACCTGAATCTATTGTACGGGATGTCTTTCCTAATTTTTCATACATTAATTGTCTTGTACACTTATATGTAGAAATACTCCAGTTTTTAATGCTTTCAATTTTACTTTGAGCAGTACGCATTGTTTGGGTATCCCCATTTTGAATAGGTGTACTTGGAGATACCGTTACAGCTATTACATATATAAAAATAATTTGGTAATATTATAAATTAACTGTAATTTATAAATTAATGGTAGTTTATAAATTAATTTTTTTCAAAGAATTCATTACATTATATTTTAGTATTATATATTAGTAGTTAAGTAACTTACACATTTGTGATGTAGGACTACCCAATGTTAAATTTATCGTAGCTGGCCTAGGTTGATTATCATTATTACAATTGTTTGGTACATGGGGTGGAGGAGTTCCACTATGAACTGCACTCTCACTATCATTTAGCGATGGAGCATCTTTCAACATTTCATAAATACTTCGCTCCATTCCACTTAATCTAATAGCTATGTTTAATATAAATAAAAAAATACATTGATATATTTAACACACATTTACATAAAAAGTTAAACTAATTAAAACTTAAAAAAGAATAAATAAATGAGGAATTTTTAACAGACTTTAAAATTAAAATAAAGATTAGGTCTCAACAAATCTAATTAATAAAGACTGAAAATTAATCAAAACATTACTGGAAGTTAAATTAAAGAAAATACATATAAATATTCACATTTGTAGAAATTTTATAAGGACATTCAAATGCAAAACTGACAAGAAATTAAAAAATTTGTAAAAGAAAAAAATGTTTACGTGAAACCGCCATTTTTTATATTGTACACGTCTATAAAAATTGGTATACATAAACAGAAAAATCTCACGTGTAAAAATAAATAATAATTATTATAATACATTACAATACATTCATTTTTGACATTTCATCAACTGAGTGAATTGTATAAATAAAAGATATATCAAAAATTGTCATATGACACCTGTTTTAAAACCAAATACGGTTAGGCTAATATCTATTCATGTATTTAGTAGCGTATAGTTGAAATAATCAGGAACTAAAATCTCTAAACACTAAAAGAATATTATTTCACGTCAATACTTACTATAAAATCAGAAGATATAAGTAATTTCAATTATTCTATGCTTAAAACTTCAGAACAAATCTTTATATTGCTTCATAAGAGGTGCAATATATCAACCTAGATGGCGTATATTGCAAACAATCTTTGGAAACACCCGAAAATTCGAATTTGTAACAGCTCCATACATATTATTTTCTACTATACACAATTTATTTAGACTGTAATACATAATCATTTTGCTATATATATTAATGACAATATAAGGAAAGTATTCAAAGCCAAAATGTTATATAGATTGTACATGATATAAATTGCATAACTCATAATTTATAAATGGTTTTTTTTAAATTAATAGTAAATTCAATTATATTTCAATATTTTCGAAATTATGTAAATTATATAAATTAATAATATAAATATTTTATTAGTTAGAAAAATATAAAAAGGTAAAAAATGTTTAAAAAATACTAGTACTTTATATCAAGTATACACTCTATATTTTATTATTCTATGATCGAAGTCGGGGCATGTGGTGGTGTAGGAGTGCGGAAGCTCCTTCGAAAAGGTTGTAAAGGGGTTTCCTCCACGTTTTTGATTTTGACAGGTATATATTTGAGTTCGTTTATGCTACGTACTATGAAATAGCTATTTGATGTATTCCAAAAAAATTATTTTTAGCAATTACGTAATATATTTATAAAGTACTATTGTATTAGTATGTTTTATTGTTAATTACTAGAGGTTAGAAACTCGTGGTGAAATTAAGAATTATATTTTTATATATTAAACATTTTGATTAATGCAAATATATGAAAATTATTGTATAATAATACATTTGATATTAATTTAGTTTCTTTAATTTTATTCTTCATTGAAAAAGTGATTATTCATTACTAATGGAATATAAGTGGAACATATGTTGAATTATTTTTTAAGTAATTCAGTTATTTATAATAATGATTATTAAACAAAATTTTAAGAATTAAACAAATTATTTGACTATTTATAGATATAATATGTGAAGCAAAATTATTCTTAAGACATGTATATTTAGATAATTTGAATATGTTTTTAAAATTATATTTTCTTTTTAATGTTTTATGGTAATTGTATATTTATTGTCTTTAATAGCCATAATAATTATAATATTATAATATTTATTTGATATAAAGTTTTATATTTTGGCGTATATTGCAAACAATCTTTGGAAACACCCGAAAATTCGAATTTGTAACAGCTCCATACATATTATTTTCTACTATACACAATTTATTTAGACTGTAATACATAATCATTTTGCTATATATATTAATGACAATATAAGGAAAGTATTCAAAGCCAAAATGTTATATAGATTGTACATGATATAAATTGCATAACTCATAATTTATAAATGGTTTTTTTTAAATTAATAGTAAATTCAATTATATTTCAATATTTTCGCAATTATGTAAATTATATAAATTAATAATATAAATATTTTATTAGTTAGAAAAATATAAAAAGGTAAAAAATGTTTAAAAAATACTAGTACTTTATATCAAGTATACACTCTATATTTTATTATTCTATGATCGAAGTCGGGGCATGTGGTGGTGTAGGAGTGCGGAAGCTCCTTCGAAAAGGTTGTAAAGGGGTTTCCTCCACGTTTTTGATTTTGACAGGTATATATTTGAGTTCGTTTATGCTACGTACTATGAAATAGCTATTTGATGTATTCCAAAAAAATTATTTTTAGCAATTACGTAATATATTTATAAAGTACTATTGTATTAGTATGTTTTATTATTAATTACTAGAGGTTAGAAACTCGTGGTGAAATTAAGAATTATATTTTTATATATTAAACATTTTGATTAATGCAAATATATGAAAATTATTGTATAATAATACATTTGATATTAATTTAGTTTCTTTAATTTTATTCTTCATTGAAAAAGTGATTATTCATTACTAATGGAATATAAGTGGAACATATGTTGAATTATTTTTTAAGTAATTCAGTTATTTATAATAATGATTATTAAACAAAATTTTAAGAATTAAACAAATTATTTGACTATTTATAGATATAATATGTGAAGCAAAATTATTCTTAAGACATGTATATTTAGATAATTTGAATATGTTTTTAAAATTATATTTTCTTTTTAATGTTTTATGGTAATTGTATATTTATTGTCTTTAATAGCCATAATAATTATAATATTATAATATTTATTTGATATAAAGTTTTATATTTTGTATATAATATGTATAATGCCATTAACATACAAAATGTAATAAAGTTAAGACTTTTATAGATTTTATATAGCCTTTCGTTAAACTTAAATTTCATAATAATACTTCTAGGAAGGTAAATATTTTATTACCATGCCACCAAAAAAGTCAATGGAGGAAACCGATCGGTTAACTCGTATAGCTATTGTTAATTCTGATAAATGTAAACCAAAACGGTGCAGACAAGAATGCAAAAGGTCTTGTCCAGTAGTAAGAATGGGAAAGCTTTGTATAGAAGTTAATCCAAATAGTAAAATAGCATCGATATCTGAAGAACTGTGTATTGGATGTGGCATTTGTGTTAAGGTAAGATGAATTTTACAGATATTTTCTTTAAAGTTATATTTATATATGTAAATTTATATATGTAATACTATTAAGGTCATTACATATTAATAAAGAGTATAATATACATTTTATTACATTCACAATTAATTTACATTTGCAGAAATGTCCATTTGAGGCAATATCTATCATTAATCTTCCTAGTAATTTAGAAAAAGAAACTACACATCGTTATTCAAAAAACTCATTTAAATTGCATAGACTGCCAATTCCACGCCCTGGAGAAGTATTAGGTTTGGTTGGGACTAATGGAATTGGAAAATCAACTGCTCTTAAAATTTTGGCAGGCAAGCAGAAGCCTAATTTGGGTCGTTTCTCTGTATGAATAATTACATATTTTTTTCACATAATATGAATTAATTTCTATTTTTATTAACATATGGGATTCTCTTATTTAACTAATGCAGGACCCACCAGATTGGACAGAAATTTTAAGCCATTTTAGGGGTAGTGAATTGCAGAATTATTTTACCAAAATATTGGAAGATGATTTAAAAGCTCTTATTAAACCTCAGTATGTAGATCAAATTCCTAAAGCTGTAAAAGGCACTGTACAACAGCTTTTAGATAAAAAAGATGAGTGTAAAAATCAAATAGACATTTGTAAAATGCTGGGTAAGTTTATATTAATATCGAAGAGTTATATTTTTAAAACATTTGAACGTGACAACAAAATAATTGAAACTGATTAAAAAAATTTAATTTTTTTTAGATTTAATGCACATACGTGACAGAGGTATTGATGCACTTTCTGGTGGAGAACTTCAACGTTTTGCTTGTGCTATGGTATGCATTCAGAATGGAGACATTTTTATGTTTGATGAACCTTCTTCATATTTAGATGTAAAACAACGTCTCAATGCAGCTTTGACCATTCGATCTCTCATTCACCCGGACAAGTAAGTAGTATCAATAGCTAAAATAATATAATAAAAATTTTACGTCTATAATTTAAAATGTTATTAAAATTTAACAGGTTTATAATAGTAGTGGAACATGACTTATCAGTTTTAGACTATCTGTCTGATTTTATTTGTTGTCTTTATGGAGTTCCTGGAGCATATGGTGTTGTTACTATGCCCTTCTCTGTTAGAGAAGGTATAAATATTTTCCTCGATGGTTTCGTGCCGACAGAAAATTTGAGATTCCGCGAGGAATCTCTTGTATTTAAAGTGGCAGAAAGTGCAACTGAGGAAGAAGTCAAACGTATGAATCATTATGAATACCCTGCAATGACGAAAACAATGGGTTCTTTTAAATTAAATGTCGAGAAGGGACAGTTTACAGACTCAGAAATTCTTGTGCTACTTGGTGAAAATGGAACAGGGAAAACAACATTCATTAGAATGTTAGCTGGTAATTTACCACCTGATGATGGCTCAGGTAAATAAAGTTTGATTCGTTTAATCTAAATAAAAAATGTGTGAAGATCGAAAGAATAAAGTTGACAGTAAACGAGAGAGAAAGAATCTGTCTAAATTAGAGGGATGCTGGCAGCGGAAGTATTTTTATTTATTTTTATTTAGTTTTAGAGTGGATACTTAAAGACGGTGAATGAATTGAACGATGTGGTGTTCTTTCACGATTTGTTTCCCAATTTGTGTTGTTCAATTATATGATGTATTGTTTGTTCTTTAGTAATATTTAATCTGTTTATTTTTTCACCAATCTAATAAATAGCGTACAAAAATAATGCTTTTAGTTTCGGATTTTATGTTATTATGTATTTTGTTGGATAGAAAATGATAATTTTCTAAAGTATAATTTTATTTTTTGTAGGAAGTATTCCTCAATTACATATTAGTTACAAACCACAAAAAATTAGTCCCAAATCTCAAGGAATTGTCCGACAATTATTACATGAAAAAATTAGGGATGCTTATGTTCATCCTCAATTTGTGACGGACGTTATGAAACCATTGAAGATAGATGATATTATGGATCAAGAAGTACAAAATCTTTCTGGAGGAGAATTACAACGAGTAGCCTTAGCTTTATGCCTTGGAAAGCCTGCTGATGTTTATTTAATTGATGAACCTTCTGCTTATTTGGACTCTGAACAACGTTTAGTTGCAGCTAAAGTAATCAAACGGTAATTGGAAATTACTATTATTTATATTCATAATTATAATAAATTATTGTTTTAAGAAATTATTAAAATATGCTATTACTTCAGGTTTATTCTACATGCAAAGAAAACAGGATTTGTAGTAGAGCACGATTTTATTATGGCTACGTATTTGGCTGACCGCGTAATTGTATTCTCTGGTACTCCATCTTTATTCACTACAGCTCACAGTCCACAATCCTTATTGAATGGAATGAACAGATTTTTAGAACTTCTAGGTATTACATTTAGAAGAGATCCAAACAATTTCAGACCAAGAATTAATAAGAGTCAATCTGTAAAAGTATGTTACTCTATTTTAGATATTCATCTATTTATTGTATTATCAATTTCTAAAATATATTTGATTTTATTGTTAATAGGATTTGGAACAAAAGAAAGCTGGGCAATATTTCTTCCTTGAGGAATGAGACAGGATATTATTTATAAGTTGAATAGCAGTTAGTATAAAATAAGAAATTTTTGTAAATCTTTATACGTTTAAAAGCCGGGAATGGATTTCTTACAATATATTAAATATCAGTAGGGCACATTTTGCGTTCAATCGAAATATCCTTCCTTTTGGCGTATCACTTTTTCTGTTTTTGTAATATTTATTTCAATAAATAGTAAAGCGGTCGCGATGAATATTTCAGTATATTACAAATTTGATTTAAAGGAAAGCAAAATCGTATTTTTGCACGAAATTTAGTCCTGCGGGTTTATTTATGTTCATGAGTATATGTTACAGTTTGCATTTTCAACTTAATATGTAAACAATACAATGCATTTTTTTGTATAAATAATTTATATTCAATTATGTATTACAAATTAAGAGATTGAATATCTCGTATATGTACATGTACATCTGCTATGCAACACGAATTATAATACATCTGGAATATAAAAAGAAATAGCGTATTAATCATTTGATAATCCTTATGAGTTTAATATTTTTGTGAACACTAGAAAATAAACAAAAGTTCGGTATTTTTTCAAAGAGTAAGAAAAAATTTGTTAAAACGATATTTCTATTTGATCTGTACGATTTATATTATTTGTAAATCATCAAAATTAAGCAGAGAAAAAAATATTTTTAAACTATAGGCTGTGATTACAAGACACAAAATCTCACAAAAATAAAATATTTCCATTAATATCTTCATTGAGATGTTAAATAAAAAGCTAGTTTCGTATTTAGCATTTTTAATATGCTAAATTTACGTATGTACAAAAACAAATTACGAAGAGGAAAAAAATATTTTTTGGTTATAAGCATAAACATGAGGTGATATATTACTTTGCTATTTTAGTTATCTCTATAAGTATACATTATTAAGTATCAATATGTACTTAGTATAACAATTTATTATAACAATTTTAGATATAATGAGAAACAATTATCTGATTACATCTTTGTTTTCACGCAAAATATCAACATTTCTTACGATACATGAAATTTTAAACAAGATTTTTAAAAGATGTAATAAATAATTGTGAAATTATGTGCTAAGGACATGAAAGATAAAATAAAAAATTATTTATTTAATTTCAGTATTATACGATCATCCGTATAGGAAAGAATTACTTCATTGTATAATGTAAATGTAACAAAATTTGACACTTGCAAAATAAACTAACTGATATTTAAAAAGAAAAATGCATTTTTTAATTATTAATACAAAGAGCAAACAAATATCAAATTATTTTTTTGTATTTAAATTTTAATTGATGAATATTATTTTGCTATATTACATTTTTCGATTTATATATTATTCGATTCATTTGTATATTGAAGAAGACACTATAGTTATAATTAATTTTAATAATAATTTATTAATCCGATTATTTATGATACATAAACAATAGAAACAAAGAAACGTATATATTTTCTTACGGTATCTTTAACCTTCATATTTTTAGTATTTTTATAAAACAGGAAATAAAGTTTTAATAAATGTTAGGAAACTTATAAATATTCTTTTAATAGTTCTTTTACCGTTGACGTCATAACATTTGAAACAATTGTTATATGTACTGTATCGATAATAACAAGAATAAATTACTTATTTTTAATTTCAAAGGTCAGTAATATTTCCTTTAATTTCCTGCTATACATTACTGAAACTTTTGAAGTTTTCAATGCGGTATGAAATAATTATACGAAGGAATTTTAAGTATCTAAAATGTTACTTTAAAATTTGTAAAAGCTTCAACAACAGTAATTTCACTTTACACGGTTACAAAATGAATTTACTGGAAACTATTTTACATAGATAAATGTGCAAATATATAATCAATGTTATAATCTAATAATGCGTTTTACAATATTTTATAAAATAAGAGATATTCAAACTTCAGATATTTTGCTATAATAGAATGCAGCTTAAAGCAAATTACGGTTAAAGCACATTTACACAATAAATTTGATATGAAAAGTTTAATCCTTAAGTCAAATAATAATAAACTAAATTATTGTAATTTTTATACATTGATTTCGTCCCTTATCACAACGTTTCTTGTATAAAATTTAGATATGTGCAATGTGTAGATTTTGCATTTACCCATTAAGTGATGTCCTCGACGCTGCATAATTTGAAAGAACGTAGCGACGAAAAGCTTTCAAACGATAAACATTACAGTGTAATTAAAAGGGAATCGATACCCGGAAATGCAAGTCGATAAGTTTTACATGATTAAATTGCCGCCGCTTTTTCCATAAATTCAAGCTATTAATGCGAAAAAAACTTAGTATTGATCGATTGAGGGAAGACCAATAAATCGACTACTGTGCTCCAGTTCTGTGAAAAACAAAAAAAAAAAAAAATGTCTGTTTACTTTTTTACCGCTCCTAACGGCTTTCGTCATGTGCTGAAGTTCTACGCGTTATGCATAATTCTACTGGTTCACGCACAGCTATCTCATAGTCACTGTAAGTATCTATGTACAACATGTTTTAAGGAAATCTGACCGAGTCATTAAAAGTGCATCTACATGAACTTTATATCTATGCACGTATGAATATAGGTTTAATCAGTTCGTTTGAAATTATTATACACAGTAGAATTGTATGCCTTAGAATTAATGTTTTGAGAAAAGTTCTGTAAGTTTATATTCTTACACTTTTTTATTAATATTATATACAGTTTTTATAAATAGTTTTTAAGAACAAATCGTTTTTTGTACATTTGATTTACAAAAATTAAATACAATTTCTCATATATCGTCATATAATCTTCATATATTTTAGAGAGGTATAAAAATTCATAGTTCCTATGTTATTTTGCTCTATTTTTATTTAAATTATTATTATGTCTTTTGGTGCACAAAGTTTGTTTAAATTTTGTCTATCGTATTTTATAATTATTTAATACTCTTAAATGCTTTTTCTTATTTTATTTCTCTTTCTTGTTTTTAATGCATTACTTAATTTATACAAAGGGTACTGGCAGTCGGATGAGAGTGACGAAGATTCGATAGAATTATCTACGCCTGAAGAATGTGCACGGAATTGCTCAGAATATGAGGAACCTAAAAATTGTTATTATACCTTTCAAGTTGAATATTATACAACAGTGGGACCGTATGTATTAATATAAAAAGTGTTATATATTCAAGTATATTTAAGTATATATATTATTATAAGTAGTAGTAAAATATTCCGATATATTTTATTAGATTGTTATGATATAAACAAACTTTTTACTTTATTATACTGAATATAATTGTAAAGTAAATATGTTATATACTAGATATATAATTATCCTTATCACATGGATACAAAATGATGCAAAAATATATTCTCAGTTAGACTAATATTTATCATTGTAAACTCAATAACAATAATCATTGAATATTTATTGAATTTTTAGTTAGCATTATTAAATATTTAATTACAATATTAGAAATATTTCATTAAAATATCGACTTGCAAAGATAAATAAATCGAAATAGTGCGTGCATCATCCAATTGAAATACGAACACGTGTTAACTTTTATAAAAATCATGAAATAAAATGTCTTTTTAGAGATGAAATAATTTAGTCACATGAAATTTCGTTTCAATTTATGGGGGTATTGTTATAATCCGGCATAGAGAAATCGACCTTTTTGGGATTCTTTTCTAAAGAAACCATGATACATATTGGCATGCAGTTTTCGCACTTAGATTTATTTATACTTAGAGAAAACTTGTAATTTTTTTTTTAACGAAATTAATGAAAATTGTGGAAATTATACGACCTTAGGTAAATCATGTTTTTAAAAACGGTCTCGAATGGCTGACGTGATTCCGGGCCATCTGGTTATCTGAAACGAAAAAACCAAAAAGCATCTTAATTAGTATAAATACAGCTATAGCATGAACCACCAGAATGGTGAAATTTCGAAAATTATAAAAATGGCAGCATTTTGAATTTTAAATATCGATTTTTCTTGTGCTTTCTTTTAGGCACTAAACAAAAATAGAAAAAAGCATCAGATTTTGAAATACGTGGTTCACGCGATAAAGGTACATCTGATGAAGATCTCCATCAAACTTTGAGTCATTCGTTCAACTAAAACGCGAGATATCCCGCCCGCCAGTTCAAAAAATATGGTTTCCAGAAAACTACGTTTGAAGTTTTTGTTATCCATTGTACAATGGCTGTACGTCGCAATTTAAATATCTATAACTTCGCTAATTTTACGAATTAAAACAAATCCTTTTGCACAGACATTTTCGAAAGCATACACTTTGAAAAAATGCAAAAAAAAATCAATTTTTTTTTTATACGAATTACAGCAATACCCCCTTAACTACTTTGTTTTATGAACTTTCTGAAGGTATATTTTTTAAAAGACTTTATTTCTTTGTATGTAGCTGTATATTTTAAATTAGATATCGGAGACACGATATTATTTCGTAGTCATGTAATTTGTTGTAAAGATGCATATTGATGATTTTCAGTGCCTGTAACTACACAGGATTTGAGAATCAATGTATTGTCGCGGATGGATTTGAGAAAACAATATTACCTATCAATCGACAATTACCAGGCCCACTGATTGAGGTAAATGTCATAATAGAATATTAAAATGGTGATTTTTTCTTTGTAGTATTATTATAAACAAAGTTATTATAAACAAACTCCTCGAAATCGTTATTATATATATTAATAACCGAATTAAATTAATTCCATTTGAAGACTAATTTAAACTTAATATGTCAAAATTTTTTTATACTTTGCAGATATGTTTGAATGACAGAGTTATAATCGACGTGACTAATGGTGCTCCAGGAATGGAAATCACAATGCATTGGCATGGAATTTTCCAAAATGGTTATCAATATTATGATGGTGTTCCTTATATTACACAATGTCCAATTGGATCTTCAACAACATTTAGGTGAAAATGCTATTATTTCATATTTTACTGTTCCTCAATGTTTTAAACGTGAAACATTGTAATGTGTGAGACACTTCTTAATTTTATATGTCTTTTATCAAAATTATTATATAATTGCTCTTTTCAATTCAGACAATATTATACTTCATGACCGTCTATTTTTATTGTGTAACAAATTGTTACATATTGTTCTAATTCCTCTTTTAGCTTTTGTTATAAACAAGGAAGTTTTCTTTTTCCACATAATGACTTTTTGTAGCTTTTTATCAAATAGCTAAAATACATTCTTTTAAACCTAAGGGTTAAAACAACCCCTATTATAACTTTAACAGGACAATATATTTATTATAAACGTATTTTTAGAAAGCTGTTCATAAGTCCAGTGAGCTACTATTTGTTTTTCGATATTTAAAGAATTTCCTTGAGATGGTTTATTACAATCTATGACATGGTACATTTTAATTTTTATTTCATTTTAATGCACCATTTTCCACGCAAAAATAGCTTATTTTTAACTGACATTCGATATTTGTACTTTACGAAGTAAGTACTTTTACTATTTAAATTATAAAATTTTCTAAAAGAATCGAAAATTTATTTTTTTTTTCGACATATCACAATCGAAAATTTCTTTAGAATAACTTTTACATATACGTATTTATATTTTCTTGAAAAACCTGTTAAATAATTTATAACACTCATTTACATAAATTGTTTAATAATCTTTATTAACAATAAGAAAAAAGTAAATAAATCAAATTTAGTACCAAGTATTTCCATGAAATAAATCTTGCCAAATCTTCTGATTTTTCTAGATATGATTTTGTAGTGGCAAATTCAGGCACGCATTTCTACCACTCTCACGTAGCAACGCACATGCTAGATGGGCAAGTTGGGGCTCTTATTGTCAGAGATCCACCATCCTTAGATCCTCATAGTAAATTATTTGATACAGACCAAGTAGTAATATTTTTGACTGACTGGATGCATGAGTTGTCAATCGAACGTTTTCCTGGTTGGTATAGACACGATATAGGACAGACTGCAAAAAATATACTTATAAATGGCTTAGGAAATTGGACAGTAAGCTATATATTTTTTATTGCAAACTATCTGAAAAAAATTGAAATATTTTCTTCGTGAAATTTGTAAAATGTTGAAGTTACCAGTGTTTATTATAAACTTATACAACTTTTGGTGTTGTTAAATTAAATGATTAATTTTAAACAACAATTGTTCATTCTACTGTGTCGATACTTTCAATATTAATTAAAAGTATTTTTATCATTAAGATTATTCGTTACTTTAAATTGATTATTTATTAAAATTTAATAGAATAGAAATAGTACTTATTTACAAGCTTTGTACTATTGTTTATTTTACAAAATTATAAAAAAATTATAATTTACTTTTAGGATCCAGATACTAAACAAACGACTAATGGAAGTTTAACACAATTTACGATCGAGCAAGGACTACGTCATAGAATGAGGATGATTAATTCTTTCAGCACAGTATGTTTAGCAGAACTCTCGATTGAAAAACACAGATTAACTATAATTGCTCAGGATGGCGCAAATGTGCAGCCTAAAACAGTGGATAAAATAGTTTCAGCTACAGGTTTGATAAATTTCAAATTTTTACCAAAAATAATAAATAATTCGATTTATTTAATTTATAATCTGATAATTAAAAACCTTTTCTACAGAATACAACTAAATGTTTGCAGATGTTGAAAATATTTAATGTGAAATTGATTGGAATTAATTTCATTAGCAAACTTTTATGTGAACTATTTATTAATAAAAACGAAAACTGTTTTTAGTATCTTTCAGTCTTATAAAAATATTAATTCTTTTTTATTAATTTTTATGTATTTATGTATTTTAAATATGTATTCAACAGGTGAACGTGTTGATTTCATCCTAACTGCAGATCAAGACCTAGACTCATATTGGATACAAGTACGTGGTCTCGGCGAATGTGCAGAAAAGGGTGTACAGCAATTGGCTATCTTAAGATATGAAAATGGTCCTGCACAGCCATCATCAGCTCCTCCTGCTTATAATGATACAATAAATGGTGTAGTAAGTATCAAGATATATCTTATGTCTGACCTAAAATTAATTTCTAAAAAATTTAATTTCTTTGAAAAAATGTATTCTTATATGTAACATTTTTGTTTTGTTCCTTTCGAACTTTCTGAAATAAAGTTTTAATATATATTTTAAGTTTAGAAATTTAACTTTAGAGATTTAACTACTGTAATGATTTTACCTTATCTTGTAGACATATAATGATCTAGATGCAACGAAATGCAATACTAATGACACTGAGACTGTAGTTTGTTCTAATCAATTGGAAAGTGTAAATTCCGAGGTTGAAATCATGAAAGTTGAACCAGATGCAAGGCATATATTACCCTTTTGGTTCTTCAATTACACTCAGTACGATAATAAACCATTATTTGGAGTAGATTCGTATCGCACTTTCATGGGTAAGTTTTCCTTGTCATGCTATTTAATTTTTTTATATTACTACCTGAAAGTATTTACTATTTTAATACTTTACTTTACTTGTTATAATTTTATAAGAAAAGAGTTTAATTGTATATTCAAGTCAAAGGCAAGTATGAATGAAGAGTTTCTTGTAGCACAATGCTGCACATAATATTCAACTGAATATTACGGTGACTGCGCACGTTCTAACGCATGTAAAAAGCGCGCGTCAGTCAATTTCTGTCTACTATAAACTAAGGAATCATTGTCATTGGTTCATCTGCGCATCTGCGCTCTCTCATATAATTTTGTGTCGTTGAAACATGCGAGAAATGCCTGTACGACAAAACTTGCTTTTCTGTATTTTCTATTTATCCATTATTTATTTTTACATTATTTATTTTGCTTCATTATCGAAAAATTTTATTTGTTTCAGATGTAAATGATTATTCTCAGCTTATTTCTACATTCAATAAAATCGCATTTGAGACGCCACAGGCGCCTTTAATCTCACAAGCTAACGTTGTCAAAACCATATGCAAACCAAATCAAATGAGCAATTGCACTGAGCCTTGCATATGTACTCAAGTTATTAATGTCAGTCTACATGATGTCGTGGAATTAATAATATACGATGCAGGTAATATTTATATCTAGTAGAAGATATTATAAAAGAATTTTGATGCGTTTAATAGGCTAATTTTAACTCGTAATACAAATAATATTATTAATTTAGAGAAAGCATAATACAGAATTTCTATTAAAAATTATATAATATTATCTAATAAATTATATTACAGCATGGTTAAGTGAATTGCATCATCCGTTCCACTTACACGGTTATGAGTTCAAAATATTTAGCATAGGACAGTACACTGATGGTAGAAACATTTCGACTGCAGACATAGATGAAGTAATAGAAAAACATACGGAACGTCTTAAAAATGGAGAGTATCACAATCCACCTGGTAAAGACACTGTTAAAATTCCAACGAATGGATACTCAATCATACGTTTCAAGGCGGATAATCCAGGTAAGATAGTCATTTATTCTTATAATTATTTATTCTTCGTACAAGAAATATAAATTTTACAATTTCTATCATATAACTTTCTGAATAAAAATAAGTTTGTCCGTATAGATTTCATTTTGACAAAATTTGATTTCTTTGGAATTTTGTTAGATATAAATATATTTAATTAATCTTAAGTATAAAAAATCTAATGCACATATTTGATCGACATTATTATAAAGAATTATTTCTTTTTTAAATTATATTAGAACTTTAAATATATTTTGTACATTTACTAAACTAAGTGAATTTAACTAACCATTGAATGTTGTTTTTTACAGGATGGTGGCTAATTCATTGCCACTTTAGTTGGCATCATCTTACTGGAATGGAACTGGTTATTCGTGTAGGAACTAAAGCCGATCTTCCATCGATTCCAGACAAGTTCCCTCAGTGTAGTAATTGGAAACCGGCATTGCATACTTTGAACGAATTTTATGGTATTGGTCATTCCCACGTCCAATAATCATTTAAGTGAATTGTAATGTATAGTAAGTAAATAAAAATGTAATATTTTCAGAAATCGTTATTTTATTCAACACTGTTTTTCATTAAGTTACAAATTGCTTTTTAACATATATTACTTCTTAAATAACTCTCTATTTTTATGTTACAAAAATATCTTTTTGATCGACTTCGTAAACGAAGATAATTTATCGTACAACAATAAATTAATATGATTACCTAGCTTAAAATAAATAGAAAGATATGAAATAATTATATAAAAATGTAGCGAATTACACTTTATATTTTAAATTAATTTTGTTCAAATATCATGTCCGGATGTTTATTGTTTCCGCAAGTAGGGAAATTTAAAGGAACAGATAAGAAGTTTTTATCATTTCCTACTTTCAATAAAAATTGCATAACAGGTCCAGATATTCCTGGAGAAATTGCTGTACTTCGTGCTTCCCACAACCAATATCCTATAAATATAAATGAATTAATTATGTTACAAGACACTACTATTTATATTAAATACAAATCGTGGAGGACATATATAGTACGAAAATGTAACAATTTCTACCTAAATTATCGGTAAAAAGACGAAGAATAACGTATCCTTTATTTGGTACGATAAAACTATCTTTTTGGGGTGGATTTAAAACGTTACGATGTAATTGCTTATTATGGTCCAACAGCATAATATCGTCTTTGGTAATTGCATGTTCAAAGCTATTTCTTCCTAGAATACTTGCGTTATAGCCATGTATGTGAAATGTCTGAGAAATATTTCCACCAAATCCTGAATGTAAAATCATTTAAAATATAAGATCAAAAATCAATATAATATACGTTATATTTTTCTAACAACATACCCTCGTCTAATAAAATAATATCGACATTTTTTCCTGGCGAAACTTCGATAACTTGAATACACTCGCAAAATAATGGTGTATCAGTACATGCCCTTGAACGCCTTTCAAGAGAGCAAATTGATTCCGTGGGTGTATTTTCTGGTTGAGACAGCAGTGGAGATGTGGGGTACTTAAAAGACATGCGATTAATTTGCGCAACTTTTACTCCTTCTTTATTTGTACCTGAAATGAGAACGTTTAGATAGAAAAATACGAAGTACCAAAAAGAATGGTAACAATAAAAATTATGATTCGATAAAACAACAAAATTACAGATATTTATAACAAGATATACCTTTACATATTTTATATTCGTAACTTAATGAAAATTATGCTAAATTGAACAAAGCTAGAGTAATAAATTTAATAAACAATTTGTATTCTTACTTAGATCTGATGGATAAAAAGGACATCCGTAAACATTATATCTATAATCGGACATTTCATCCGTAAAATGAGAATATGTATTCACGTCGAATGGGATATAAATAACTTCGTTCGAGTAAATCTCGGCTCTCTTTGATCCTTTTAAATCCAACGCACAAATGAGATTCCTCGATATTTTGTGACAATCATGTCCCTTGTTCGCAATTGCGTAGTCATTGATTTTCAATAGTTCCTCGTCTTTTATTATAGTAGACTCTGGTTTCGTATCGTCATAAAGAATGAAAGCTTCCTGATGTAGATTTTGGCAATTCAAGAAACCCCTTATATCGATGAGGTATTTTCCAGGAGGTTGATTCGCTTCGATAATCAAGTCAAATCTCTCACCTAAAATTAAATTAAAAAATGGATTAGCCACAAATGTAAAATTAGCGAATTTTTTTATAAAATATCTATTTGTCAGATTATATCATTTTTATTATTTTCGATTATTTCTGCCTATAATTGATACGGAATTTATAAGAAATTATGTTCATTCGACAATTAATTTCATCAGAAATCACAAAATATGGAACAATGTTTTTTTAGAAAATACTTAATCTCTTAATGATATTAATCTCTTAGATATTAACAATAAATCTAATTTTACAGATTTGTTTGATTCGTGAAAAGATTAGTTACATATTTAAAAAACACTTATGCTAGTTATTTTATTGGATAAAAAAATACAAAGGTAAATATAGGCGTTGTGTAATGTTACAGAATGACATAAACGAGTACAAAGACCATGTAGATAAACATGTAGCGATAAGAAAAGAAATTATGTTTATTTATTGCTGTTGTATATGTACAACTTTCATGAAATTCCTTTAATTGTAATTCAAATTATTTCGTTACAAACGACATGCCTGCAATTATCGAATTAATATTTATCTCCGGTAATAAAATTAGTCTGTTTCAAAATTTAAGTTGCCAATTTTGTTATTAACAGTATTTATGTTACATTACTAACAAGCAAATTCATTAAAAAAGACTTGCTTAGTATAATGAGCTGATTTCGTTAGCAATAAGATGTACATATAAAAACGTGAAATAAATTCATAGTCATATATACACATATACATATATACGTAACAACATTAGCTTTTTAATCACTGTCCTTTCTTGATTCTTCACGAGATTTTTCTAGATCATAAATAACCTTAGAATTACGTTCCTTACAAGAAATTTTTACATTATGTCATTATTACAATACGCAAATATTAATACTATAATCATTATTTACTGGAAGAAAAGTCATGGGATATCAAGGCAGCGATCGTAGTTCAAATCTTACATAGATCCCTATGTGACTTATTCTACTTTCTTTTCTACTTTCCTTTTCTTTTGCACAGAAAGATACTGTATCTTCTTGAGATCCATGATTGAGCATCATTATGATTAATATTCAATAAACAGTCGAAGTGTGAGAACGAATATTTATCACTATTGAAAAATATATGTATATATTGCAGTAACGATTACGAGAGTTTTAACTATTTATTAGTTACTAATACCTACTCACTTTATCTACAATTGATCACTGAAAATAACTTCACGAGATAACTTCGTCTATTTTAGTTCCACCATGTTTATTTTTAGGTTATCTCTGCGATCTATCGATCGCCATCTATTACAACGGTTATATTTCGATTTATAACATAATTTCAAAATTATGTTACATCATTATCTATGACGTACCTATAGCAATTATATTCGAATAGGTTTATTTAAGAAATTAACAACGATTGTTGAAATTATCAAATTAAAATGAATTATAATTCATGTATAATAATATACATCGATAATGTATACAAATCAATCAAAAATTACTCGTGAGAAAGAAATTAACAGGACTTGCAGAAAGGGTTCCATCGAAAAAAATAATACGTCTGTAATAATGGTCTTAAGACCAGTTTCATTTAATAGAAATAAAAAAAGAACTTATATATTGTATAAAAAACGAAATGTCTAGTTGTGCGAAGATTAGTTTCGAGTATGTACCTTAAAATTTAACGATCGTAAGTAAAGATTCTAAAAAGGATCATGATAATACAAAAATATAAAACTATCGCAGAATCAGGAACAATAACGAATGCGTTGTAAAGTCATACACCGGAGATTGTTGAACCTTGTGTACAATCATTACAATCTAATTTCTTCTTTATACCTAACTAATAACGAAGGGCCCTAAGTGATATGATATGAAATGTGATGCAACTTGCTCGTTAAACGAAAATTAATTAATTTAAAACGACTTATTTTCGACTATACGGAGGGACTTTTTTCGATAAAAAATAGTTTGCTATCTATACACCTTACTACGTCTACTATTTAAAGCCCTGAAACAATACCAATGGAATACTTATAATCTAGATCATCCATGAGACAGGTTACACAAGAGACAAATGACGAATCTTGCTAGAGAATCAATTTCATTGAAACTCATTTTATAAGGTACGATTCGTTCCACAATATGTATTAGTTAATCTTTCCTTATTAAAATACTTCATAACAAACAAATCAATATCTATAATTAATAATCATCTGTTCTTTCAACAAGCAAATTTTGAAGATTATTTAAAAAATCATATCAAATTAAAAAATTTAGATACATACATTAAAAATATAAGAAAATTGTTGAAAAATAAATTATAATACAATAGTAATACATTTTCGTTCAAGTTTTTAAATAAATAAGTAAAAAGAAAAATTCAAAGTTCTTAATTAATGTATACATAACTTTGGACATGAGTTTAATTTTATCTGTATAATAAATAGAAAATATTATCAAAATTTGATACTTGTTGCTAACGTTCATTGAAATATGTAGCAAATAATTACAAATATTTATTGGAATTAAACGTAGTATAGGATAGATGTACGTTTTAAAATTTTCTTTCCAAATAGTGTAGTATGGTTCATTATTCCATTCAACCTGTCTCAAGTGACATGGACTTTTGACTTATTTTAAATCTAAAATCACATATCCGCTATTTCTATCGAATATGAGTAACATTTCGTTCCACGATTGTACATAACGATTGACCAAAGATCATTTAAAAAACATTCGATTGACATCACAATGACAAACGAATAAATAAGATCACGAAAAATAGCATCGTTTACAATACAGTCTTTCTCATGAATCGAATTTTACAACATTAACGCATGTGTTAAAAATATTTTTGATACACAAAAGGCATTTACATACTATAAAATAATATAAATTTTTCCTTTCGTCAAAATTTAAATTTGTTTGTAATATGCTTTGTGATGTAACGCGCTTCTGGCTTTGAATAATAAAATACTATTTCCTTTTTAATGTTCTGTAAAATTTTTTAACGCTTGGTAATTTCTTTAATATTTTGATTCCACATAATTCTATCACTTCTAAGTATACAATTCTCTTAACAATACGTAGATTGTTTTTCTTTCTTTCTCAGAAATATTTAAGATTATTCCTGGGGCCTTGTACGATTATTTCCCAGGAGAAAAACCAATCGTGTACAATTATCAAAAAAATATAATATTAAATATAAACAATTTTCTTATTTCCTTATATGTCTTATTTTATAATGAACGACATAATAAGTGATTCATTCGCTAACTATATTCAAATTTGCGTCGCACAATATATACTATAACCGTAAAACATTCATGCCTTATTATACAATCTTATCGCTCAAGTTTCACACTTCAGAGAAGGACAAACGTTCGTTTCAATAGACGTGTCCGACACGTCTCATTTAAAATTTCGAATATATGTATAATTTTCAATGCTATTCTAGATTATCGATTTAAAGTTTAACACAACTTTAACCAATAAATGTATCATCTGACAACTGACATATAATACAGAATAGAAATAGAAACCGAATTAATAAGTCGTTTAATAAGCCAGAAACGCCAAGTTTTGTCGCTTCTCAACAAACTTTAAATTAAATATAATATACTAATATGATTCTATGTCAAAATCGAAAGTGCCGTTAAAATGATTGTACATTTGTAGCACGCTATTACTCAACAATAATTCCAGTAATTAATAATTACAACGCGTGTTTGCACCTACATTTGCAATGGCGCATTAAACAGAACATTAATTCGTCCAACCGCAAGAGCATTTCCCGTTTCAATCTCACCAGTTCATTTCATGCTTCGACATGAACATCAATTGTAATCGATCGTCTATCGTTGCGAATTCATATAACGTCCATATGTGTATGAACACATCATTACCGCGATTTATTTTATGAAAAGTCACGTGACAAAATAACGCATGTGGAACACATTTTCACCCCCATCGAGACGTATGATCGCCTTTTTTTTTTACCCTTAACGAAAATGAAAATAAAGTTGCACTTGTTAGCGACGTGTTTGCGCGTAGACGCCTATCTCTGCTTCGAACAGAATCTGATTGATCCTTAACTTCGCTACCGATCTGGAGTATGAGTCTGGAATCTCCGCCAGTTGTACAGCAATGCTCTCCGCGAATTTCGCGAATTCCTCTTTCGTTCTCTTCCGTTCGTCCGACGTGGTCTCCAGTTTCGTCTGACCAGACTCATCGAGATCGCAAATCGGACTATTGTGACTCAGCAACGAACCGTTGTACAGTTCCATCGCCTTCAGGCTCGACGACGACGACTCTTCGGCGTCTTCGCTGAGTGATGCGTTGAAGGAACCAGTTCCCGATCCATTTGTCTCCTCGTTACAGTCTATAAATGTGATGCTTTCAGGATCGATGTCGCTGACTATGTACTCTTCTTGTAACTTCGACGTCTCCTCCTCGGCCTTCTACAGGGAGAAGAATATAATTTCATGTTTGTCACAAGCGACGATCGGTTTATTGTTATGTCTAAGCATACGTGTAGGCGAGAGTGAAACCCAGTTGGTTAAGTAGAAGAGAGGGCAACGAAAACGCGTAGAATAGGACCATACAGGGCACTGTATGGTAAATGAGTCGATGACGAGTGTGAGGTTATGAAATAGAAAAATTATGACAATAAATTCTGCATGGTTTAATCCTTATTTCTTACGAAATACGATAGTTTTCACCTCTTTATATCATTCCATATGAATCTTAATCTTTTATTTCTAAAAGAAAGAGGTTATAATCTAATCTAAAATAGAACCTTGTTAAACTAGCGAATACATATTTACCTATATGCATAATTCTGATATCACGTGTTTCTTTTATGACGTTTTGATGTTTCTTTGCACCATATTTGAAGAGCCAAGTAAGGTTGTATATGAAAATTACCGCGGGAAGCATATATTATTTAAAAGAAAAATATGCTTTTAGCTGTTTAAGTAAATGTATCTCTCCAGGAAACGTGAATACATTAAGAGGTAAAAAAGAATTATAATAATAATAAAATAACATTTACTATACAAATAGAATTCGTGTTCTCATTCAGCTCTTCTATGTTTCACCTATCTCACAGTAGACAACAATTTTTTTTTAATTATTATCTTTTTAATTGGTAATTATCACTAATTGCAATGCAGTATTCTATGAACCCGTAAGAACCAATTTCCTTCGCACGTTCGCTTCACATTTAATTTACCTAGAGAACTTTACCGGAATCCAGAGAAAACATCGCATTCCTAGTTATTATAATTACGCGGCATGTAAACACAAACGAATCGTATCGAATCGCGATTCAATCCGCCATATTCGGTTCACACGATTCAACGTTAATCTAACATTTCGATCTCCCGAGGAAATCCCGCATTAAAAAACTTTCACGGGAGTATATTTAAATATCACGAAAAACAATGGCCACATATATCAGATACGCTTAATTAAGAAAAAGCACACACATTAGTTCATAAGTGTATAATAAGGAGAAGTCCAAACTGTTTTTCATATTTTTTATATTGCCAAATCAAATCGGTGTAATGAGATTTGAAATATAATTGATTACTGAATTTGTATTCCTTGTGTTAACCTACTTTTTCTAAAAATTATTCAAATGGTTGTAAATAGCTGGAATGATCTGTAAATGTAAAATAAGTAATCTATATACGTTATTTCTCTTAACATTTACAACGTATTTAAATATATTTGATTAAACCTAATTAATTTTAAAATTTGTCTAAAATAACAAATATTTTGGATTAGGTATAATACTACTTTTAAATTTGCAACATAAAATTAAATGTATTTGTTTAATGAATAAACATAGATATATCATTCTAACAAACCTAACCTCAACGTAATATCATATTTGTCATCTCGAGCTTAGTAAAAACTTATTACGAAATGTGGATACATTCCTTATTAAACATAATATGTATTATCATGTAATTATGAATAACGATATATCATAATCGATTTTCACTTTTTATTTATTATTAGATTATCAAACTTGCAATCTGTTTCTTCAACTACAATTAATATTTACATTTTGAACGATTTCGCTGTGAAAAATACAGTAATCATTAGAACATATTACTTCTAACCCAGTCTTTCAGTAATATATAAAATAAATAATTTTAAGATAATTTATAGGTTAAAAATAAATTGCCGAAATTAAAGCTTTATATACATAACATTCTTCGCGATTATTCGTCCGCGTCCAGCTGTCTCTCCATTTTCGTATATAACGATACAAACAACTCGCAAAACCATCAAGACGGTATAGAACACCTTACGTATCATGGAATTGCGTCGCTATAATTCAATCAGTCCCTTAAAGAGGAATAGGACGATGAGGCGAGAGAAAGAGAAAGCAAGACGAGAGAAGGAAGACAAAGGCGGATGGCGACAGACGGGCTGAGCAAACGAGACAGAGAGAATCGTATAAAACCAAACACGAAGTGCAAGAAAACGAGCGTAGAAATGATCATGCTGAAGTAAGATGGAACTACAGTTGTCATCACTCGAGCAGCGCATGAATGTACAAAGAGACCTGGATATATTTTAAGATCAATTCGAAATATAATCTATCGAAATGAGAAATTGACGCGGGACGAATATTGGAAGAATAACATGTCATTACGAGTCGACGAAATATATATCCCGACAACCGACGCCTCGTGCAGGGGAGGCGATCGTTTCCACGAAACACATTCGGACACAATGGTCTTTCTTCGAAATTACTTGGCCAATTATGCGATGGCGTAAACTGGCCTCCTTACGATTGGAGAAAGGGAACCTTTACGACGACACTCTATTTATCACCGATTTTTTAGAATAAAATAAAAAAAAGAAAAAAAGAAATAAAAATTCGTTATTTAATTAGAGGTTAGTTTTTTGAAAAAAATTGGAAATATAAACGATCGAAAGAATGGAGAATCTCATAGACACACATGTACACGCATATGTATGTTCTGTTAAGGCAAGTGCGACACGTGGGAACGAGATATCTGTCACAACTGGGTTTCTCGCGCGACAGTGTATACATAGACGTAACGATAGAGAACGATGTATAGCCGTGTGTACCTACCTTCTTCCTCTTACTATATCTACGTGTGCCAAATTGCAGGAACTGCATCGCCTTAAAGGCGAACCACTTAGATACGTAAACATCGTCGGGTCCAGTGGCAGCGTCGCGACTGTTCTGTATCTTGTGAACTTCTCTCGAGTACTGACACTTCAAATTTGTAATCTTTTTCTCGATTTCAAGCGTGTTGCAGCAAAGAATCTCGGCGAGCTCCTGAATCGCGCGTTTTCGCTTCGCTCGGTCGCGATAACCACGAGCATTCCAATCCCAGAGAACACGTCTCTGTTGATACTCGCGCAGTAGTTCGAGAGTCTTGTCACGAGTCCACTCCATGCCGAGCCGCGTGTCGTTCGTTTCTGGCTCGTTCCACGCGTCGTCGCTAGACATGGAAAATAGAGTGGCACGATGGTTAGGGCGGCGCACGGACACTAGTTGGCAGCTACCGTTTTCTCCGAGAAATCGTGCGTTTCGTGCACCAAAGACAGAGAATTACGGACGGATGTTGAAGAAAGTTAGAAGCTGGTAAAGGTAAACGAGCGAGGAAGCAGTCGGCTGACAAGCAAGCGGGCGGGTACCCGTTCGTGTAGCCGCTAATAAATCGTCGACTACGAGTCGACAACGACGCCGCAGCCGCGAATCGAGCACGCGTTTTAATGATTTTTGCGCGAGACCCGCGCGCGCTTGGTCGCCTTCCTTTCTTTATTTCCCTTTGCGGAAACCCGGCGAGAACACGAAGACGGCCGAGTCTGCGCGAACGAGTCGACCACCGCTGCACGCCGCATCGCTAAACGTATGAGCACCAAGAGGTTTCGTCCTTTCCTCTCTCGCTCCGCCTTTTTCTTTCCCCCTTTCCCTGGCGCATTTCTTCTCTCTGGCCTCGTTGCGTGTACCCTCTGTTCGTTCCCTTCCTCTTTGTTTACCAAACGACCTTGCGCCTCGTTTCATCGTTTTTCGTTCTTCTCCAGTTTCTCCGCCGCTTCCTTCGCTGCTTTCGTCTCACACTCTCCTTCTCCTCTCTCCTCCTTTTGCTTCTTATACTTTCAGATTAATTACGATAGCCGAGTTTTTCACCTTGCTCGTCTTCCCCGGCATTTCTTCGTTTCTTTTCCGTTTTATCTCCTGTCCTCTTTTTCGTTGCCACTTTATCGCTTCGCTGAACATATCAGATTCTTCCGATCGTTTCCTTTTCTTCGTGTTCTATCTCCGTTCGTTCTCGCCCTTTATCATGCTGTCTTCTTTCCTTTTGTTGTCTCCTTCGCGTAGACTGCAACTCCCTCTACTTTTTTTAACTTGCGATTCTTACAATGCTGCTATGGTTTCCGCAGGACGAATACGATTGGTAAGAATCGTGCTACGCTTATACACCATCACACATGGAAATCCTTCATTTTGCGCAGTAGAATTAGAACAATATCAAACGTTTCTTCCACTATTCGCTATTAATTTACATTACATACTGCCAACAGCACGAATTATACCGTAAATTTACTATTCTTTCTTAAATATTTTTCTAAACTTCTATATCATTCGAGTAAGACGCAAATCACTGAATACTGTATCTGTTACTTCAGTGACATTTTGCAAATCAATTAAAAATTTATCTACTATATAAAAATATTACATTGCATAATGGACTGAAGTGTTTTACATACATTTTACATGCCATATATGCCAAGTTACATAATTAATAATATAAAATTTTTAAATCTCACTTTTGTTATAAATTAACTAAACGTAGTACAGAGTAATATATTTATTCGAGCAGTTGGCAATGCGTTCACATTTCATGATGTCTTCATCGCCATTTTCGTCACTGTTTACGCTTTTACAATATTTTAGACGCTTGGTTTCTTGATGTGTAAACTTCTTTCATCTATACTCCAGCAAACTGACCTGACAAAAATCTTTCGCAGCATATAGATATTCAGTTCAATTTCATTTTATTACATTCCGTCCCGCCTCCGTTGATCACAATTCTTTCTCGCCTCCACCACTCGCTTTCACTCAAGCTCGGGGCGCAATTGTGCGCGAGAAAAAGCGAGAGACGAGGTCGACGTATAAAATCTCGGATGAAGTGTTTTGCGCATCCGCATGCACGTACAACGATCATATCTTACGTGTGCTGAATGTTCAAAACGCATAGTCTAAGGAAGGAGAATCGCCTGCATACCTGGAAAGGAAACGATGTGTCTGCCCGTCGCGGGTTCAACCGGGTTGCCATCGGTAGCCGAGACTTGAAAATCGTGGCCAGATATGGACAATAGTACAGGGCAGTTGTACGCGTTGGCGTTAATGAGCCGTAATAAATATTTCGCTCCATGGTGGACGTTCAAGGTTGATCCGTTATTCTGAAAGTAAAAAATCGTAGTTAATGTCGAACGTCGGTTTTGTGAAACGTGTAACGAGAGAAAGTTCTCATTCTGCTGGCGTAATCCACATTATACAACGTTATGCGACTAGAACTAGAACGTTAAGTAGGCTTTTCCGAAATTATTGAAATATCTTTTAACAATGTGATGTTTAATGTTACTAAGATTGATCTCTACCTTATCAAACTACTTTGAAGAAAGACAAAAGTATATATTTCTCAAAAATTTATATTTATATGTGTAGTTGATTGACAGACATTTATTTAGTTTAGAAAAGAGTTTTTCTTAATATTTTATTTTATAAGATACTTGAAACTGAAGGAAAAAGCTTAATATTTATGCCTAATTAAATGCAATACAGGGATTGTTAAAGAAAAAAATTAGCATAGAAAAATTAATTAATATATTATAATTCTTCTACTGTAATTTAGTATTTTAATATATATTAAACAAATATGAACTATCTTTTTGTGGTTTCTATACCGTAGTTTTATTGTTATCACTCTATTTATCACTTGCTTAGTTATTAAATGATATATCATCATATAGTAGACAAGAGAAGCAACTTTTTAATATGAAATAAAGATGAAGCAAATTAAATTTATATGTTAATCTAATGTACAACGTATTAGATGCTTAAAATATGACATAAAAGAAATTTTACATTAAGCTTCAATTTATTTCTAAACTTTCCTATGAAATCATGCAGACCTTTACAGTTTAACTTATTATATGACACTCATTCTACTAACATAAAACAGAAACAGTAAATAACACTTAAATGATTAACATTATCTCAAAATTTGTAAAGGTAATCTTTATTTTATAGTTTAATATTCATTTAAAAAACAATTTTCAATTGTCAAACAACTGTGAATGTATGTAATCTTATTGTACAAAAAGGAACTCTGTTACTCGCATATTTATTTATATAAAAATTTTGACTTAAAATTAATTTCATTTTGGATTAAAAATCTTCAATAATTTTCATTCTACATTATGTTTCTTTCTGGTTACCCCTTAGGGTCTTGTCTAATTAGATAAAACAATACCTGGCCATTTAAGAGGAGTTCACTGGGCGTAGGTGGATGTAGGTGCGAGTACTGCGACAGTGGAGTTGGCGGCCTTGATGACAAGAGAAGTATCCTTTCCAAGCTAGGGTCATCTTGTGGTCCTCGAACTGTCAACGACCCGTATACGCCGTCGCCCTGCTGTGAAACTAATAATCCAACACTATTAATGCTTTTATTATTTTCATGATTAATGAAAGGATTCACGTTCCATTAATATACCACAGTCATTTTATTTTATACTTATGCACAAATCGTACGAGAGTTTTTAAATATAAATTTAATAATGTAACAAGCAAAACTTGTTACATGTTCAATACAATTTTTAAAATATGACAAAAATTACTATTTTATTTATCTCGAATTAAGAATAAATTATTTATTTATTTGACCTAAAAACAAAATATAATGTAAGTAAATCTGTAATAAATTATTCAAATGATTTTTCATATTAATTAATTATTATTGATTATTTCTTTTTTACCTTTTTTGTTATTGTATTTATTTATTACCGAATATTTTATTTACTAGCTGTGTTCAAAAGATATAGTTATAGTTAGTATTTATTATTAATAAATTATAATAAAGTAAAATTAAAATGTCCTTTTAATTTTGCTACTAAGTTAATTATTATGTAATTTATTTATAATTCATTATATGTATATATTATATTATAATATATTTATGATATAACATAAACAAATTACTTAAAATAATCAAGTGAAAAATTATATTTTTATTTGGAAAATATCTATATCAAGAAATTTTGTATTTTGATATTCATACATTAATTTTACGTACGCTTAAAACAATATAAATAAATTGAAATTATAACTGCGAAGTGAATAATATTGAAGTAAACTTCTAATAATAGTTTCTAGTTTCGCCGTTAGAGGGAACCACATTCAGTGTTTGTGCAACTTTAAAAGTAGGCACGCCTATTCTTTTAATTTTATTGATCATCTGCTTTAATCTCGTTTTGCTTGATTACAACATAGATCGAAACGATATTCTATAACAAATTTGTCTTAATTTCTATTCATTCAAAATGATTATTTTACTGTAAAGGTTAAAAATACTATATTATTTTTTTTTTAATTTTAGATTTTTCAATCAAATTTTTCATAAACATTGAAACTTGCTCCTGAAACAATAATTAAATAAGATGAGAGCATCAATGAAAATAAAATTTGGACGAGTTCATTTCTTGTCTTTACTAAAGTTATCACCCTTTATCCACGAAATAAATTTAAATCAATTGTATTTTTTAATCTTGCAATATGTAATTCAATTTAATTTATACGACACCGATGAACAATTTTTATTCAATATTTCAAACATAATTATACTATAGATTAACAGGAATGAAATAAATATACATAGGCATTATGAAAAAGATACTAATGCGTTATACTCTTATGCATCAATTTTGCTAATAAGCAAAAAAACTTTTGTGAAAAATGTGTCATTTGTATAGTAACAATTATCTTTTATAATATTCGAAATTTGACATAAATGTTTCAATATACCTGAGCATCCTGGATGAATAAAAGCTGCATATTATATTTCATTCTACTTTTCATTTTATCACCAAAAAATTATCTCATTTCACTCGAATATCTAATAGAAAACGAATTTGAAAAGATAAGTGTTAAAAAAATTAATATTTCTAACATTTTATAGACACTACTTTTCTTGCAACACCAGACGTAACGTGTAACCTAACTTCTACATGGTTACAAGATTATTGATCTACTTTAATTTTGCTTGTCCTCGCAGAAGTAGAAGCCGTTCTACAGCGCGGGAAAATTAAAATCGACTTAAACGATATCGAACTTACTTAGTTAAAAATAAATATATAACAATGTTAAAATAAAATTAACAGTAAAATTAATTTCCTTAATGTTTGTTTAAAATTATTTTATTTATACTCAATTTATTACTGCATATATTTGACTGCAGTAAAACAACGCTAGTCAAATACCTTTTGATAAATGAGTCAATCATAAATGATTTTAATCATTTTTCCAATAAATGTGGTGACCAAAATTTAGAATATATTATACTACTATTTTAGAAAGAAATATCTTTGAAGAAAAGAAAACATTGAACTTGAGATTGTTTGTAGAATATGTAACTATATATATATATATGTGTGTGTGTTTGTGTGTGTGTGTGCGCGCGCGCGCGTGTGTGTGTATAGATATAACAGTTTGTTAATTAATCAATTAACAATTTGTTACTTGTATTTAATTATTTGATAATTTTATTATCAAATTATCATATAATCAATTTGAATACGATTATATTAATATATTTTTTAAATAAAATTTTTATTATTTTAAAGTTGTTTAAATACAAGATGCTTACCCACGTGTGCATAATAAATATATGTACCAACATTTTCCGGTTTTAGTTTATATCGAAAACCGCCAAATGGTAATATTGAACACTGTGTGATCATTGAAACCCCATCCATATGAGCGGAATTCTTTTGTGGTAATCCATGCCAATGAAAAGATAACTCATCGGACCCTAATCTGTTATACAAAAGGACTTCTATTGTATCTCCGAGACATACCTACAAATTGAGAGGTAAATTTATAAAAAAAATATATATATATGCTGTTATTATACAAACTGTATACAACTCATTGTATATAAATTGAAATTTTATATTGAAAATAAGATATATAAATGATTGATAAAAATTGCACAGGATAATAAATTTGTTAATTATTACCTCTATTTTTGGACCCGGACTTTTTCCATTGATTCCTAGAAATCTTTTCGATGAAATTGTTTTGTCGTAAATCATCGATTCGTAATTGCTTTTAGAATCATTATGAATTCTATAAATAATAAAAATTAAATTTAACTTGTGCACCCAACAAATATTTGAGTTAGTACTTTTATATCTATAGTTCATTTATTTTATTTGAATGGTTGTAGTTTATTTTATCAATCTACTTTTACTAATTAACTTCTTACTAATCTATTCTTACTCATTCATAGTAATCATTAATTAGCATAGTAAGCTATAATCTAGCATAGTATTTACTACTACGTAAACATCACTAGGGAATTTTTCGTATAAATAATTCATCGGGAAATGAAAAGTTAGAAATTTGAATTTGATAAATTGAACCTACATAATGCATAATAATTAAATTGAAATCACTTATATTTTCCTTTATAAAACTACTAAAAAACATTAATTATATTGATAATGTACTTTAGATAGTTGTAAAAAAAGAATCTAAAATTTGTTAACACAAAATATTTTATTACTAAATTTATATTGAAATGAAATTATTATGTGAAGTAACTTCTACGAAGACAAATAAGTACGAAATTATCAACCATAAAAACAGTTCATTTTAATATATATATATATTATGAATTTTTCTCTTACACTTTTTAATTTCAACATGTCGATAAAGTAGATTCTAGCTAACGCACTATGGTTTAATCAGAGATAAGGTATAGAATTCAAACTATGGACGAAAATATTTTTGCTATATTAATGTAGACAAAGGAAATAAATATTTTCAAATCAAATTTCTCAAAAATTTTTTATAATCTATACAATATCGAAAAAAAAGAGAATAATTAACTAACTTTTGTCTGTTATATACTTCCGTTTCATTCGAATTATATTTTAAATAGTATAGATAAATGGCGTATTTTCAGTAGTATAGAAAAAGTTTTTGTATATTTAATATTGGACAAACACATTTTAGGATTAGGATAAAATGTTGGAATAAGAAAAAAATAATAATTATTTTCACAACTAAAGAATTTACACGAAGCATATGGTACCATTATCTAGTTTTACTGTCTATAGGATAAGTAAACTCTTGCTATCCGTGATAGCAAGTAATAGTGTGAGAACCTGTTGCGAATGAAAAAAATTCAAGATGCACTCTTTAACCAAGTGTGTTAACCGTTAGATCTTAGATTACAGTGGAAATTGTATATTCCTTCCACAGTTATTAGAATTGACCGAGATTCCGGCCTGTTTTTCACTCAAAGAGGACATTCGCTATTTTAGGTCTGATAAACGTCACTAGTTCGTCATCAGTCGTAATTCTTGTATAAATAATTCTTAGGTACTAACACCTTTGTAGCTTAATATGACTTTATGTCACTTAAGCAAAATATAACTTTTCTATTTATGTACAATTAAAAATGTGACTCAGCTTATTCTTCAATATAAAATTTTATAAATAAAATGATTATTATATAAAGGATATAAAATTGCTCGTATAGAGCAACAGTTTGGAAAGTTTGTTAGTTTTAACATTTACGTATCAAACTTTCGAAAGTATAGTGCGTTTTTATTACAAATGCACTGATCAATTCGATATCATAATACAGATTATCTTACCTGATTATACTAGGCAATTCTCCAACGAAAAATTCGTAATGACATAATCTTTTTGAAAGTGCATTATCAGTACAAGATCGCATGCATTCATGATCATCATCTATTGTTTCAAAGAGAGAATAATAAAATTAACGTAATCTATGAATCTCATTATTAGAAATGCTTTTAAATAATTTTTAAGTTTATTAAATATTTGCAATGAATTCAATTTCTTTAAAAAGAGAGGGAAAAAGTTTCATTTTATGTTTGTATGATCACATTTTTCTAAATACATTTTCTTTAAATTAATTTTAATACATATATATATACTTGAGAATTAATTGTACGAGGTATGATTGAAAAATTCGTGCAATTATTTAATTTCTCGTAAACAAAAACATCTGGTATATTTTTCGCTAAAAAAAATCTCAGCTAAATCGGTTTTATAGGTTAGATTTTGCAATTAAATAAGTAGTTTGCATTTCAGTGTACTCGGTAATTTTTGCAAATTTTTATAATAGTGGAACAAAAAAAAAATATATATATAAAATTGTGTATAAAAAATAAGATAATTTGATTTAACATTGTTAAAACGTTAAGACAAACTTTTCACGAGTTTAATGTGCAATTACAAGTGGTTTGTAAATAGTACAGACTCATGAAAGTGGTACAAATGTTAAAGTTTTCTTAACAAATTCCTTTTATTGTCATAATACTCCATGAATATTTCCCACAAGGTTTTACTGTTAATAAAAAGTACTATCTAGGTCTTTTACAACATTTGTAGGAAGTAATCGTAGATGACCCGATTTGTGGAAGGATAATACGTAGAGGCTTCACTACAATGATGTCAAGTTCTCTCACCACTGTACCATTTTTTATTAAATATTTACATCACTGATTATTCGTGAATTTCTGGCCAAAAAATAGCATAATGACGATATCATAGCCCTCGTACTCCCCTTATATGACCCCACACAATTCTTTTTATTTCCGACATTGAAGAAGATGAAAGGACACTTTCAAAACGATTGAAGACATGACACACAAATCATTGCCAAACTAAGAATCATACCATAATATGAATTCCATAAATGTTTTCAGGGCAAGTTTGAAGGAGGCAATAAAATTAAATAAATAAATAGATACATTTTTACAAAAATAAATTGCACAAACGTTTTGATCATATCTTGTATACTTGAAAATTAATTGTATTTATTACACTTTCTTTTGATAAGTACAGACATTTTTAAAGGCACTTAAAGAAGATAAGTTTATTCTCTTACCCCTTTTTTGAGATCTTGATATTTTTAATAAAATAAATAAAATGATGAAAACTATAAAATTCTTAAACCACCACATTTTAACCCAGATAAACTGGGTTTTGTCGAAATTTACTAATTTATGAAAACCGGCATGTAATCATCGCGAATCATGAGCCAACGATGACTCGGGAAATGAACACTAGCGATGTTATACGTTTCACGATCATACGACGACTTCGTTGAACCTATCTTGGTAGGTGAAAGCAAGGCCTAGGCTACTTCTAGTTATGCAAGCTGCATTCGATGTAGATTCAAATTTTTTGTTCTTACCAGAAAACACAATGTTTGTCTAAGTGTTGCTAACAAATTTTAGTAACAAAGTACTTATATCTATTTTTATATACAGTGAATGTATGTTAAATATATTTTCTTTACTTGTTTTATTTAAAAAATACATTTACTTAAATTATATACTAGAATATGATGAAGTCATATTCTTAAATATTATAACGAAATAATTACATAATTATATGTACACAAATATTTACAAATTAGTCATGACATTAAGAATAGAATTCAAAATTATTTTTTCCTAATTTAATTTTTAATTATTTAAAAAAAAATAATTTTGCATATTATACTACCTATCTTTGTTTTCTTTTCTAACAAAACTCAACAATAGCATGTATGTAAAAATGCAATACGTGCTGTTGCCCTAATACTGACAAATTTCCACATATTATTAAGAGAATTGTTTTATTATATTTGTAGGGAGAAACTACCTTTTTTAAGTCAAAAATAAATTCTGTATTTACTAATAATATGAATCTAGAAAAATCGATTAAAAATGTTAAACTACTTAATAAGTACATATTATGTAGATATACATAAATTAGCTTTATAACATTCTAAACTGCACAAAGGTACTCCAGTTTTTGAACATAAATACTTTTTGGGATTTTTACATTGATTTACACCACAAAGAATTTGAATTGGTGGTTCTTTCCTACAAAAACGAAATATGATAAAATAATCTTTATAATTAAATAATATAATCTACATAATTATTATAATTTGTAAGAAATTTATAAAAATTTCACAAATTATTAGTACTTACTTTTTTGTAGGTTGCAATGGAAAGTCTTCTCCAGGTGGTAAAGATATTGAACTTCCTTCAAGTGTTAAACGATATGTAACTAGAGGAACTTGTCTTCTAGAAGGTTTCCCTTTACTAATAACTTTAGAGGCTTTAGATTCTTGCTTTTTTAATAACCTTTCCATTGTTTTTTTCTATGGAAGCAAAAGTATAAGTTTAAAACACTACATACAAATTTTAGCTATCTCATAAATATAAAATTAACTTAATGTAAAGCAAAGTAAAATTTTTAGTTGAATGATTATGTTACCTTATCTTTCTCCCTTTTTTCATCAGCAAGCTGTTTTCTTTTTAATGATTTAAGAGCAGCTTTTTGTATGGCTTCTGCTGTCATAACTTTTTCCTTATATCCAGTTGGTAAAGACATAAGTTGTTCAACAGCTGGATTTGGTTCTGTATCAGTTTTTCTTTCGAACATAGCTCTTTGACGAGCTGTCATTAATTTTGGATCTTTTGGTTTGATTTTCTTCAGTTCATCATCAACCTAGAACAAAATACAAGTTTTATTTATTGCAATTAGGACTCATTTACAAAGAAATTAAGATTATAAACATTAATTATAACTAATTACTTCTTCAAGTTTTCCAGACTCAATTGCATCAAGCCATCGTTCTTCTTCACTACTAGTACCACTATCTTTACCTTTATTACTTTTTGGAACCTTTTTTTTCGTTGTAGCTTTTGGTGATGGTGCAGTACTTGCTCCAGCAATGCTAAAATTAGATGTTTTTTGTATTTTTTCACGAGGTTTCTCTAAACTACAAAAAATGATTAAAATGTTAATTATAAAATAATATAAGGTAATATTCAATTTATTGTTTCCTTCTACTGTATTTACCTTTTATCATCATCTTTTTTTATCTTAACTCTAAATGTTTTCTTTTTTTCTGTTTCAACAGCAACATCATTAAAGCCATCATTATCATCATGAGTAGCTTTCTTTTTTTTGTGTTTTTTATGTTTATGTTTCTTGTGCCGTTTTTGTGGAGATACTTCATTAGTTTCTAAAAAGTAAATAATATATAAGTACGAGGATGATTAAAAAATGATTAGAGATAAACATAAATATATATATAAAGATTTTTAAATTTTCCGCGAAATATATCCTCGTAAAGCGCCATTGCAATTATTTGGTGTTGATATCGCTTCACTAAGTTGCATATCTCAAAAGAGTTTCACTAACCCCAGTGTTGAAATTGACAAAAAAAAGAAATTAATAAATATTTTCATCACTACATAAAATAAATATTAATTTTTCAACACATAGAAAAGCGTACCTAAAGTTATATCTTCGTCTGAACTTATATCTTTCGTCTTACCCATTTTGTTAAAACTTTAAGCTGTCCAAAATATCAAAACATAATATGTGGAGATTCAACACATGCTGTGGTTAAAATGTGAGTTAATTTCATAACTATCGTGTTGGTATCAAAAAGTAATGTTGGTAAACATGAAATATAAGTTTAAAAATCAACCATAAATAAGTCTATAAGAATAAAATAACATTCTTTTGTTGCTACGTGATGAATTTATATTTTGTAATAATTTTTGTTTAAATCAGTTTCTTAATAATAATGTTATTTTATTTATTATGTATGAATTATTTAATTATATAACAAAAAAAATTAGTTTCCTTAATTAAATATAGATTAGTATTAATTTTTTATATTTTTTGTATAAAATTTTACAAGATCATATCTGATCTTAAAATAATTTTATAAATATATTAATAAATACAGATATTAAAAATTACATAATATTGTACTCACTTCAACAAATATAAATTAGAATATTAAAATATGAAAAAATTATATTAACGTAATTATTAGCTGTGCATATAATATTTATAACATTAACTTTATTATACAATTTTGAGTTTTATATTACAATAATACTTGAATTTCTTAATTACATATGTAATATTTTGAATTACCACAATCCTTCATATTGATATTCTTTTAATGACAAAGTATTCTAATGTATTTTTATATAATTTATTTAATTAAAAATGGAATTTAAATATTATAAATTCTAAACTGTTATTTTTGTTTTTTCCCCTTATTATATGTTTAGTCAGAATAACTAAATTTTATATTGTTATATTTTATAAATATGTTTTCCTTATATAAAAAATGAAGAAAAGTTTTTCTTTTTTCAGATTAATTTTGTTTGAACGAATTTATTTTTCCTAATAAACCTATTAAATATATGTGTGTAGGGCATAAATAATATGTTAGATATATGCACAAATAATTTGTAAAATGAAATTATATTCTTATTACTGTTATCTAAATCTAAATTTATATAAAAAATATGGTTTAATAAATTTTTCATAAAATATTACTAAGTATAATATTATCATAAATTTTTTGATATTAGAATATTATATATTTACACGTGCATCAAGGTCATTTATGTGTAGTAAACAAAATTTAATATTCACCTTTACTCTTAATATATTTTGGCAAATCTGCAAACTCATGTGATACTGTGTATATCTTTGATATATAATTTTAAAAACTTAAATAAATACATATATAAATTTTGAAGAATGAATACAAAGATATTATTTTCTTATTTAAGCAGTGTTTAGTTGAATTTCTGTTTTCATGTCATAAATTACATCATCCAGTTATTTTGAAAATTTCAAAAGGTAATCAATTCACCCGGATACAAGACAAAACTTTGTATATATTTTTAAATAATTGTAAAACAGAAATGTTGCTGGCTTGTACAATGTGGCTAGATTAGAAATTTCGACGATTTAATAAGTGGACCATGGCTACCTTATGTATTTTGATGGGATGCACTAGTTTCCTGAAAGAGAAGATAAATAATCAGTTTAATTTTTTATTTACTTTTGACAACTATTAATTCTATTAATTTTATATACGAAAATATGTAATTTGAACAAATGTTATAGCTCGTGTCGGTTTTACCTGACAAAGGAGGCCATTAAAACTGTGCTCTATTGTGAGGTTGAAAAATTCAAGCAGGATTAATGTTTTGATTAACATAATATATATTGCATTTAGCTTAACTTACATATTACATAATTCTATTAACTATAGCGATTTATAATAAATACGAAATGTGAACCACATTCACTATTTTCAATTCCCAAATTTTTTCTTACATAAAATTATAGGAACTTAAACTCTGTTTGTTGTGAAACTGTTTTATTCGTGTCACTATAATATATTTATATAGATATCGTCTTGTATTCGGGAGAATAAAACGAGTTTTTAATTCAAGAAATCAGTAATTCAAGGACTAATGAATGATCTTTATATGTTTTTCTACAGTAAAGTAACTGTAGATACAAAATTGGAATACATATGGTCCCTTCATTAAATATAGCAGTTTGCACTATATTAAAAGGAATATGTTATATTAGTTTGCAGTGTTCTTGCATTATAATACATTTGTTCTTACCAGAGAAAATGTGTAAACAAAGTAAAAAATATTAATATCAGAAAAATGTACCACATTTTGGAATGATAAATATAAATTAACACAAAGCTTAGGTGCTTATAGAAGTGAACAATTCTCTTTCATAATAAAGAATGAAAGTTTGCAACTTTAAGATCAAAAAACCAATTGTAATTTAAATTAATTTTTAAATCATATCAGGCTAGTTTATATACTCCATTATAATTATTTTACTGGCAGTGTTTACTCCACACCATCCTTTAAGCAGTTTAATTGAATTCTTAAGTCGAAAAATGCAAGCAGACACATTTTTTTATTTTATTAATTTATTGACACATAGAATTTTGTTTTGTAAAAAAGGAATATAAACATGTTGAATTTATAATTAGAGTAGTAGTAGTAGTAATAATAATAATAATAATCATAATAATAATATAATAATAACCACAATAGTAATAATATAGTTATATAGTAATAATAATAATACTTATAACAGGTAACAATGCAATCCTATGTTGTGCAAGCTTCTTATATAATTTAGTACTCTAAATAACTGCTTAAAAGTTGCTATAGAGTATAAAAGTAAATAATTCCAACAGTTACAGAATGGCAACTTCGACTTATCTTTGTTTCACTTCTGACATGAACATTTGGCACATAAATAGTACTTGTATCACTGTTCTCTTAAAAATACTTATTTTCAAATTTATGATGAAAATAAGAAATACGAAAATGTATTCTTAAATTTTTATATATCTTTACATCTTATAAGTATGAATAAATCCAAGACGAATTTGTCATTCCGTTCTAAATTAAAATATCTGTAAATGATCCCAGATATGTGAAATAATTAGGATGTATAAATATAGATCAAGAAAGATAATATAAGACTGTGATGTGAAACTTAGTGGTACGGCTAATAACCAATTCTAGTCATATTGTTCATTCATTTTTGCACAAGAAAATACATACATATATGTATACGTGTACATGTATAGGTGTATATATATGTATGCATATATATATATATGAAATTTTGTTTATGCTCCTTTTTCACACATCTTATTTCATATTGGCTCGCGTTTTAAGGGCGTAGATTCGAATGACGCTACAGGTCGCTGGATTAGGAGGGGTAAAAGGGGTAGGGTTGGGTCAGTTGGTATTTTGTTTGTTGTAGCGAAGGCGAGCCAAGCCAGAACGCTCACCCTCTTCTTCATCTGACGTACAAGGTGGTGCACCACTAACTGCACCGCGTGATGATGTTGCTTGCATTAATTCTTGGTCAGGACCATTTCGATGTTCATATAACAAAATATTTAATGTTTCTTCATAAATTCTGGCCTCTGGAAACTCAACCTATATATTATGAATTAAATCTTTACATTTTCTTTATATTCAAGTAGTTTGTTACTTGATATTACATATTACACTTTTTCGTAATCAAAAGATTATAATTAAGTATGTTTCACATATGTTCTGTATTACCTTTGTGTGTTTCTTGTCAGTTGTGTAAACAATGGAGTGACAACAAACTTCTGCAACCTTACGACCATGACCATAAAATGTCCAACAGCAAATTTCACTGGAGCCAATTACATCTTTAATAAATAATACTCTATGACCAAATCTAAGGGACATTTTGTCGAACAATTCTATGTTTTTTAAGAGATTGTCATCTGATGTACTGTAAAGACAAGGCTTTTTATATATTTATTTATTCTTTGTTTCGTTGCATATTGCAATTCATATAAAATAAGTATCATCACCTTGTATAAGAATATTTATTATTGTGCCTATTAACAAGCAACTTTACTACTGGTTTAGTAGTAATGCTAATTAATAATTGCTCTTCTTTTTGAGAAGTGATAAGTGGAATTCTACAAATAGGTTCAGCTTCTCTTTCTTTTAGAAGAAGTGCTTGTTCACAAGATTCAATTAATTCAGTAATGCAATAATATTTTGCTTCTGCAAGTAATTCTGCCATTTCTTTTGTGCTTTCAGGTAATGCAACTGAACTGTCTCTTAAGAAATTTAAGATTGTTCCAAAATGTTTTCCACACCTGTCTATTAATATCCAACCTGTGAATTATATTTATACTGTTTAAGTAAATAATAAATAATAATTATATTTCCAAGAATATATAAATAAAAAATTTTAAATACGATTTCTAAATATTACACTTTTCCACAAATTAATATATGATCTTATATTATAGAATTTCAAATATGTACTTTTATCAAATGTAGAATATTATTTGATGTGAAATATTAAAAAATGCAAAATATAGGTAATTATTATGTTAAATTTTAACAATTATGAAAATTGTCACCTTCGGCATCTGTGAGAATTTCCATGCGGCCTTAGGGTAGGGAACCGCCGATATTGAGCTTGACATATTCCGAAGGATATTTAATTTCCGCTTTGTGATTTCCGGACATACCGAACGATGACGAAAATATATCACACCGTTAGAAATCAATGTTAATATATATTCAAATGAAAAAATATATCGATTTTTAAACGTTAAATCTAAAATGTAACAGAGGAAGAACAGAACGTTGCGTCTCTTGAACGCTAACGTAACGATAAACGATAACCAATACAAAGATATTTTATGTGGTATTTATTAGTCTCATCTTAAATGTTAAAATCTTGCTAAATAACACGATTCACTACCCTTCTGTGTCTTGCGACTCGACAAAAAAAATATATTCTATCGCATTCCCATTTTGGTGAGTGACTAGCACGAAGAAACGAAGACTAGTTCTGGGTACGCGCAGGCGCAACTATCTACGAGTCGATCGTTTGTTTATTTAAGAAAATGGCTGACCCTTTAGCAAAGTATGGAATTTACATTGACGATTTAAGTAAGATTCATGTATTAGAACCAGATGTGGCAAATCAGACGAATAAGCTTAAAGAAGAATGTCAAAATTTTATTTCGAGTGAGTTTTATAGAAATCATCACAATTATTCAAAGTAATGTGTATTTCATTTACACTTTTGACATTTGCAATTTGAATAAGAAACTATTTTTATGAGGTTTGTCACTTGACTTACCCCGTTATTTTTTATTCTTCGTGCATACAGCGATTGTTAAGTATACTCTCTGTGCAAAACAAATGCTTGTACATCCTTCTTTATAGTAATTGCTGCCATCTATATTACCGCCTTTAGATATACTTTTGATCGGTGTTTTAAAAGGATTGTCTTCTATCATAATTCAACATTTATTGTATATAATTTATTTATTAAATTAAAAGATATTCATATATAGAATTTGTTTGTTTTTTTATTGTCGTCGTACAAACGTTTATCTTTTCCTTCAAAAGCAATTTTGTTTCAAAAAATTATTTTATTAAATATGTTTCTAATAATTTATGTTTAATTTGAATAATATACAATAATAATAAAAATGCTTATTTTGTATATATGATATCTATATTTTAAAATATGTTTTATTCTTTATATATATTTGCTTTTTTATTCATATAATAAAACAATTATTAATAATTTTTTCCTTTATTTATTATTCTTCTTTATTTCTCAGAAATCACTGAGTTTCAAATGAATTCTCATGAACTTGTAGAAATAATAGATCAGTTGGCGAATGAAGTAGAAAAAGAGAAAATGAAAACTATTGGAACTCGGAATTTGCTCCGTTCCGTTGCGAAAGAAAGGAATGCTCAAAAGCAACAAATTCAGGTTATTCCAAATTTAAAATATTTTATATAGTAGTTATTTATTTATGCTAAAATAAAATAGATTATTTTATTTTATTGTAGATTATGTAATATTTACAAAACTAACGAATAAATATGTGCATATTAAATTATATTTTAAAATAATTTAAAATCAATATTTTAAAAAATGTTTATTATTTCTAGGCACAGATTATTGAAAAATCTATGGAACTTGAGAGACTTCGCATACAATACGATTCTCTAAAAAAAATCGAAATGGAACAGGTAGAAACTATTGAACAATTAACGGTAAATTAAGAATTTTGAAACTAAAATTTATAAGCTTATTTATATTGAGTACATTCCGAATGCACAGTTATACCTTTTCATGTGTGCATAATTATAAAATTGATAAAAATGAGGAAAATAAAAAGACTATCAGAGATAATTAGAGCGACATATATTATGAAACAAGATATTTATACATAAGTTTATGACGAAGTTTGCAATTAAAACGGTGTCGAGATTTAAACCCTTCTTAATAAGACGGCATCAAATGTACATACATATCGTGAAGGTTCTCAACCCCTGAATCGGAAAGGCACATTAGTTAATTCTGAATCATTCTACGAACTGTTCCTAATATTTATATACTACTAATTATTTTGACAATAGTGGTACTTCTTCTTTCCATAAGAATTACGATTGCTTTTCTTTTATAATAGTAAACAATTTTGTTTATACAATTACTGCCTACTAACAGCCGCAATTATACGTGAGCAGTTGTAAAAGATGAATAACAGTACAAAACTTGAAGCAATCTTAAAGACATCGCAGGTGATCAATTTATATTAATTATTTATCTAACAGCTATATTATTTTATCGAATATAAACTTTTTATATTTTGTGAATAGACAATCGTTGTCCGTATTGTATGTTCACGTTGTAATGAAGTAGTGCTATAATGAAATCACGTTTGTAACATAAAAAAAATTTATGAAGTGTTTCTATAATTTAATTGTTAAAAATGTTCCTTACTTATGTGTTGTAATTACATAGAAAAAGAATTGAATTAGTTATATAAAATGAAAAACGATGTAAGCACATAATGTAGATACAATAATTTGCATTAAAATAAAGATGTATTTCTTAAAAACATATAAATAATTTAAATATTTTTTTCACTTTCACTTTTATACATATTTCTTATGATAAATTAGTCTGTCTTCAATACATATCTTATTAATTTTCAAAATGCTTGCATGTTTAAATATGTGTAAGTTTAATCTATAATTTTATTGTTTTTTTTTTTTTAATTTTTTTGAAACAAATATTATCTTCACGTTGTCATTAATTTACATAATGTCTGTTGCTGTGAGATATTCAAAAAAAATTTAGAACAGTTTAAGTAGATAATATTCCATAACATAGTACATACCATTTTAACAATATTTTTAGTACAAGATCACAAATTAGCAATGCGTAATACGCAATTGTCTTCATTACGCAACACAGTTTACACATTTTGAGACTACTCGCACACCCATCCATTCAACCACCATACCCGGGGATTCAAAAATAAACTTTATTTCGTAAAAATAAGAAATGGTATCGTGTTGAATTACAAATATAAATCCTATATTCTAAATTTATAAATATGTACAATTACATATCTACTATGGATGTTATCTAAAAACTCAAAGAGTATATTTCATAAATGTTAATGGAGCAAATGGGATGATGCATAACAAAGTTTTTTGTAATAAAGAAATAAAATACTTCAAGATAATTAAATGCTGAAAGGTATTTGAAAAAATTAGAACTTCAAAACTTTTTATTTTAATCTAATCATTATAGAATCTTATACTATTTGTAAAATCTTACAAGGCTTTGACTTAGTAAATGATTTTAGATTGATTTTATTTATACTTATCATCTACCTTATCATTACCATAGAAAGTACTTATAAAGTGAAATATCTATTATTTCGTTAATTGTACAGAATTATGTTTATATGACTGTCTTACATATTTTGTACATATTATCGAGACGTTAGACCGTATAATACACTGTCCAATAATAGATGCAATGAAACATTTTTGAAAATTGTAAGTTAAAACAAAAAGAACACCATTTATTCATATCAATCTAAGCTTTTAATGTTGAAATATTAGCAGCAAAGTATCATCCTCATATGCTCCAATTTATCAGTCTGCCACCAATAGCCAGCACTAACATACTTTACATGATATTTGAAGTAACTGGTATCGATCACCATTGAGTATCCACTCAAAATTCACAGTTCTATAGAATTACATAATTTTACATAAATTCACATTCACTCATCTGTTTCCAGAGATTATAACAGTTCATAACATTTAATACAGCTCTCACATTGTTGCTTCGGTTTTAAGACGTTTACAAGATTTCATTGCATCTTCCTGCACAATACAATCATTATTTTCTTCTGTGGATATAGATGGCGATACTGATCTTTTGGCAGTACATATTTCAGCAATAGTGCTATTTGTAACAGCATTAACTGATGGTTGAAACCGCACTATTACTGCTGTCATATTGTCGCATCCTGTACCATCTCCACAGGTGTCACGTGCAAGACAGTGATCAAATAGCTATAATATAATATTTTATTAACAAACAATATACATTGAAAATCAGAGTACAAAGAAAGTAATTAAATGTATTTTATACCTCTTCACATATTTTTGACAATTTATCATAATTTTGTGTTAAACGGGTACAGATAAATTGTACAACATCTTGACTTGACATGAAGTTCCAAATACCATCACAAGCAAGCACCATAAATTCGTCTTTCTCTGGTTCAACAGTGATATGCCTCACATCAGGAAGTGCAGAAATCATTTGCTCTTGTGGTGGTAAATTTACATTCTGTTTATAAGCATGGTCCCCAAGTGCCCTTGATAAATTAAGGCCCCCATTCACTCTACCATCAGCTGTAACTTTTCCACCAGCTTTTACTATACGTTCCATTTCTGGTTCATCTTCAGGCTTGTGATCTAAACTAAGCTCAATAGCTTGACCATCTCTACATAAAACACAACGAGAGTCTCCAGCATTTGCTACATATAATTCATTGCCCTTTAAAACTGCAACTACTGCAGTGCATCCACTATCATAACCTGGCTGTATAAGTTAACAATTTATGTTTATTGTAATACGCGTAATCTAACTTTTTAAACGAAGATAGCGAAATATATTGTGTAAAAAAATTATCATACCTCTTCTATATCCATCATAAGACTTTCACTATCATCGTCATCATCATCATCATCATCAATATTAGTATCTCCAGTTTCACCTTCTTCATCTTCATCTTCATCACTTTCATCTTCATCAATATCTTCCACATCATCTTCATCACTAAAACTATGCAACAGAATTATAATTTAAATATACAAATAATTTTACATGTAACACAAAAAATAAAATTTTTATTTAGCCAAATGTTTCTACCTTTCTGGAACTCCATCAAATGTTTCATCATTTTCATCATCATCGTCATCTTCAGAATCCTCATTATCTTTTTTTAAAAGGGTATGATATAAAGTAACAGGTTGAATTCTTCTTCTACCTGTACTAGTTATTCGTTCTTGTTGTCCTGCATCTCCATTTTCTACTGGGGTACATGAACTGCTTGATACATTATCACCCCCACCTTTACTACTATCTGCATCTTCAATTCGTTTTGATTCTGCACCATTTAATTCTACTTCATTTGCATTTGATTCTGTACATGTAATTTTACCAGGGCTAGTAACTTTTTTGTTTACATCTTCAGAACTATCAGGCATATCTGCACTTTTCGTTGCTTCAACATCCGCTGTTGATTCTACTGGTGCAGATGTATGTGCATTTCTATTACTTGTAGTTGAATCAAGAACTTGTTCAGCTTCGTTATTTCCAGTACATTCTGATTCTTTTCTTTCCATTGTACTAGACAAAGTTGATCCACATGGTTGGCTGGAACTACTCACATCGGTTTCATTTGTATTCCATGAAGACGAAGATGATGAACATCCTGCACCAGATGATGAGGAGCTTGCTTTTTCTTTACCTTTTCGACCACGTAAATAAGGACTTGCTGAAGATGCTCGTTTATTGCATTTCTCATTTTTAAAATTTTTTGCATTAGGATTTGATTCTGATTGATATTTAGCCATTACTTCTTCCAATGGCATTGTTGCCTCCATACATAGATTATTAACATTTTCTTCTTCATCTATGTACAATGTAATATACGAAGTCAGCTTTATTAAATATATTTTTGTACAAAGAAATAGGTGAAAGAAACTAATAATAATTAAGTATTACAATTAATGGTTTAACTTATGTGAATATAGTTCATATAAAAATATATTTTCTATACAAAAAGAAACGCACCAGATTCATTTGATTCATCTTTTTTTTTATCTGAAGTAGATGTTCCTGCAAGTTCTTTGAGAATACTAACTATTTCAGGTTTTTCAAGTGTAGCATCAAAGCCTAGAAAGGCATCCATTAAAGCTTGTCGAATATCTCCTTTTTTATATGCCTCAGTCTGTTTAATAAAATCGGGGAGATTACTTGCACAGTATGTTGCTACTTCATGACCACCGTGACCATCGTATACAGCAAATAATGACACATTTTCATCAAAATCTATACAACAATTATGTGCATCCTATAAAAAAATAATTATAGTTTGAATGTATATTATATGTATGCTAAAATATTTTATTTAAAAGACTTCTACATTTCTTGAATATATTTCATATTTTAATTCATTTTATAAGTAATGTGAAAAGTATTGAGTATATCACACAAATAAGGTTATTTTATATTTTATAATCACATGTATGGATACTTTAATTAATGATGAATAAACACCTTGTCAATAGCTAAAATATGTTAAGGAGCAATGTATAAATAAATTACATTATTTTGCAAAAATCTAAAATTTAATCTTCTGTAAAATGTTTAATATTTATTACTAATTAAAATATTAACTGTTGGGATGTTAATTTGACATACATAACAAATATTATGCTAAGAACAATGAGTTTAACAATTATATTTGTTTTATATTTCTAAATTATAAAATAGATAATATAATGTCGTGAAGGCCTAGATATTTATATTAAAAAACAATAATGAGTCATTACGTTAGTATAAAACAGAGAAGCTTTTGTAGGTTGTAAAAGCTTTCATTACGGAAGTAATTTTGAACCATGACAATGGGTATTCTTAATTTTGCAACTGTACTGTTTTGTTCGTAAGTGAAACGTTGAAGCTCTCTTGTTACTATCAGCACAGTATTTATCGTTCTCGAATCGAATAGACTGAATTTCGCGCTTCGACACATAAGTGGATTACATTTGGAATAGATCAGGATGAATGTCGTAATACCCTGACGAAACGGTGAACCGGCAAACCGTTCTCTGACCGAAACGAAACTGGGTAACGGTGCACTGGCCGCTCGAGGGTTTTAGCTTACCTCTTGACTAATTCGCCAGCCTTGCATGGAACTCGCGCCGAATGCGACATTCTTGCCTACTTCGTCGCTCGACACTTTCTTTGTAATTGGTTTTGACAAGTATGTACCCATTTTTGTTTAAACCGGCAATATTTCTGTTGATTTTCTGACGTCCGCGTAAATATCACAATATCTTGGTGAAATTACTATTCGCAAGCGCGGCGCACAGTCGTTAACTAGCCTCCATGACCGGTTTGGGTTTCTGTTTTCACTGCGCTGCTAGCTCCACCTAGTCCGCCACTTTTCTTACATGCGCACTTCATTTTCGCGCCAAACTTTCGATGATTTTTGGTTGCCACGAAATGGCGGTTTGTATTACTTCGCAGAGTATACATTTTTATAACGCAGTAAAGCATATTTTTCTAATTTTTGAGTATAATGCATAATCTTCGTGCTTAATTTATGATAATAATATATCTCATATGAAAATAATTCTTATATTCGTTAAAAAAAATAAATATTACTATACAACGAAATTACTAATCTTGACAATTTCGATATATAAACTATTTAATTTGCCTATTAAAGAAATACGTACAAATACATATTGATTTTTGAAAATAATATAATCTAAATCTGACAAAATATATGTCACATTTTTAGTTTTGTTGAAATTTAAAGATATTATTTACGTATTATACTATTATATTGAAGAATATTATAAGTTATATCTTATAACTTAGATAAAGGTTATAATTGTAATAAATAGAATTATAAATGAACATATCCTCTGGATATTCTTATATTCTCTTTATATTTATGTTAATATTTCTGTTTACAGTATCAGCCTCATATTATGAAGGAATAACGAATGATTAATAGTCGGTAAATAACAAATATTTCTACATGCACTAACCTCTTCAGTATAATATACTAACCGTTAAAAATTTACATTGCAGTAACAAACGATGGAAATCGATACGAAGTATTTTTGAAAACAATGGAAGATACCGTCTGACTCTTTTATGGAGAATTTTTAATCTTCTGAACATCATAAAATTAAATAATAGAAATAAATTAAGTACAATAAATTAAATGCAAGCAGAGGACAAATAAGATACATAATACGTAGACAAAAAAAATTAATTCAAATAGAGAAGTAGTATAAATTATCAGATTTATAATTTTTAAATTCCAGTAGCATTTTATCATAAGAATAAAAGTAGAGTTTTGAATTTTTTATTGGTTTAACTATGTTTATAGAGAACAATTGTTTTAATCTATTTTATCCATTGTTATTTCTAAGATACGAACGTATGCAATGTATATTATCTAAAGTAGAGATTATATCTAAGTACCTCGCAACTATTATAAATGCAAATGATAATGGTTCGCATTCACCGCTATTGCATACGATCTAGAATAACCTCCTTTCTTGATACTCGGATACCTGCTTCGAGTGGATTCTCCTTTGGTAAATCTGTCACGTTTTTCGCGTTTTGTATACTCGGCAACCCAAATTTTTAGGTTCATCCTTTTTTTATTGGGCAAAAAATTATTATGTCATAGGCGAAGTAATCTTCCTTGATAGTCAAAGAGCTTTGAAGTATCTCTTTTCGACATTTTCCTTATTTTCTACAAAATTTATAAAAATATGAAAAATTTAAATTTAAATTTAACAATCGTATATCACTGGAAATATTTTGTAATCTCTATATAATTTTGTTCTTGTTTTAGTTTGGATTTGCACTCGATTTATTTTGCAATTGCAATACTATACATTATAGAATATTTTGCGATTATTTGTAAAAATGCAATTAATTTTACCATGGACACACATGCAATACAGTATGTACACTTGGATCCTAATAATTTAAGTAAACGCGTATATTTTTATTTTGTTTTAAACATACTTATATCGAATTTTTTCAGGTAAAAGCATATTTTATTAATGGGAACGTTCTGAACGAAAATAAATAGGGGACGACGAGAAGACGTGTGTAAACTACAGTGGCAAAGAAGTATAAATAAATTTCGTACATTTACTTTAAGACAATTCTGCATTTATATGCAAATCGAGCGATAAAATCAGAGATAAGATAAGGTCAAGGATGTATAGTATTCTACAAAAGGGCTGTTAATACATATACACATACATAAAGATTTCAACAACGGCACAAAAAATGGGTGAAGTATGAAATTATTTAGGGAAACCCTCTCAGCTGATTGCATACGAGTGTGAAGAAAACCAGATTAGTAGGTGAATGTAGGGTAGGAAGAAGAGTGGAGATGCTATATCATTATTCAAGTTGGATGTACCAAAATCTCTGTCCATCTCTGCTCAATTAAAGGTTCGTGCCAGCCCCGAGATACATTGATTTTACGGTTTTAAAACAAAGAAAAGGAACGAAATGAAGAAGATGCTAGGTCCAAAGTTATCTTCAGGCGATCTCGTTGGTTAATTCAACATGAAATTGAGAGAAATTGGGATTTGCAGGTGAATTAAGGCTGAAGAATGAAAGCTAGATATTACGTCATTATTGAATGTGCCGATATGTCGAAAGTTCTGTCTACTTTAATGATAACACGGTGTGTAGCGTACAGATGCCGTACGATCCGGGGAATGGTGCAGCCGGTCGTCGAGGTCGGGGTGGTTGGCAAGGATGGGTTTGTGTGTTGCGTGATGGTCGCCGTTTATCGATTCGCGCCGCCGTGAGGAATGAAGTCGCGGCTAGCTGCTCTATGCCGTGGTGTATAGCACCCTCTCCTATATATTCGTGCGTTCCACGTAAACGCATCCACGCAAATAATGTGCCAGCAGCGAAAGTAGCAGCGCCACGCAACTTTCCGTTACTCGGTATCGTTATGGTACCTGCTGACATCAGGCACGGTCTTCGAATCATGGCTGAATCGTGATTCCTTGTTTCTCTTCTAACCAGTAAAAGTTCAAAATAATAGGAGATTCAAATTAACGAAACACGATAAGTTAAAATAAGTTAAAATTGTTGGAAAATATTCCAAATTTATTCTTACCTTAAGTATCTTTTGTCTCCTGGTGTTTCGTTTGAATTTAATTTCCTAAATTGTATTTTTGCTGACAAGAAAAATGAAAAATGACATTACACATTTTTGAAATTATACGTTTCATTCAGTAAATTTAATTTTCGGTGAAAGTTGCGTGACCGGTGAAACGGTGTATCCGAAGTTAATATTTAATAAACGGTATATTACGCTTTGCTTAATTTTCTATAAATTTTCATTTGTCGAAGTAATGACTGATTAAATATTGCTACACTGATACATCGATGCTAGTGGTATTTCATGAATCATATTAATCAAAACGGTGTTTGTCTTATGAGAGAGTACAATTGGGAAATATGACTCGAAATTGATAGTGATACTTTATTTATACGCGTTATAAAGAATGAGAAGAAAACAATAATACCTAATTGCAAACATTGTCTATTAATGAAAAAGATCGCGTGCGCGGGAAGTCAATTACGTCAGGGTACAAACGTGATACACTCAATGAACGGCTGTAAAACTGAATGAAACTTACTGGAATGTGTCGTATTTTAACTTAATCGAAATATTATGCGTAGTTTTGCATAAAACGTACACTCTTACCTGAAGGATTCAATACAAAAAGGAATTCATTTCAGCGTATCGTGCTTTAAATTCATCTGAATTTTATGCGTGCACGTAATACATCCTTGCCTAAACGATTCAATTTAGGAGTGTGGTTGAGAATGCAAAACACAAACGACATATATATAAAAAGACAAGGTATACCTTGTTTCATCGGAATATTTTCATTCATATCGTTCATTCTTCTTAACAACAGTGCTACAAAAATTGAAATCTGTTTAGTTTTGAGAGACAGAGATTTCTTTTCGTGTAGAAAGCACTTAGAATATAAGAGACAATATCTCATGTTTGTATCTTAAAATGTAGACTAACATACCTGACCGAAGATTTTCTGTCTTACAGGATTGTTCATGGACCCATTGAAATGGATAGTAAATCAATTACTAATTGAATGTGCAGATCGAATCTCCTTTTTCCACGAAGCCACATGCATTTCACGTTCTATTTGATAATAATTACGTATGCTGCGGCGAATCTGGGTCCGCACGTATATATGCACGAGTATTGTAGGAATGCATACCAAACCGGGTACTACTGCATCTACATAACAAATGCGGAAACACATGATTGCACTGCACAATAAAAAAAGATCACTCGATCATTCTGGGAAATATATCTTACCACAAAAATATTATCCGAAGAAGAAAGCAATTTATGAATGATTTCCAATTTTACTTTACATCTTACTTCGTGTACATCTCTCATCTCTATCGTTCGTGTCTTAACTAATTCTGAAATAAAGCAATTATTTTAGCAAAGATCTTACTATATTATAATAATGTACTTGTATTTAAAATATAAGTAAGTAATAAAATCGATAAATCAATATATCAATTAATATCGATAATTGATCGATAATTGTTCATTTGCCAATTCGATTAAGTCCAAAAAATAAAAAGAAGAAATTTATTTCAAATATGGAAAGTTACAAACCAATAGCGTGCTTTGGCGGGAAGATTTTGAAAAATTCAAAAGTGGTTAATCACTTCGGAATATGAATAGTCTAGTTATCGAATTGACGAGAAAAAGTTTCACTTTTTGAGGTTAGAATATCGTTTTGTATTCGTATAATGCGCTCTCATAATATTCCGATATTTTGAAATTGTGTATTAATCCTGTTATAATTTATTTATTAATCCACTAATCTTTCAATTCGAGTATGAAAATATCGTATGTGTAAGGTAACTATTTTACGATAGTATGCATAACGGGTTAATCGTATCATCAATGACTCGAGGCAGTCGTTCGTGAATCAGCAGTACACGTATGTATGGTGAAATCGGACGTACAAATTGTGCGTCATAGGTTAATCTAAAATTCCGTGTTCCAGTTTACGGGTAATGCAATCAAACGTATTGTATCCCCGTCACAAAGCGTTTTCCGACTTCAAGGAGACAGACTATAAGGAAAACGATGATCGAAACGAACTAGCGAGAAGAGAATCAGTTGATACAATTAAGCCCCATCTTCCAATTTTCTTCAGTTACGTACAAATGTGCGTAATAAACGCAATAAACGTGTTACATGAACAACTTGGAATTGAAACTAGTTCTTATAATTTGCGGGAAAATTCACGTAAGAAAAAGGTACG